TGTTGAACAGGTTCGAGAGGCGCTCCTGTGGCTCGGCTTGGCCACCGTCGATCAAAAAACAGAAGTCGTGCTGCTCACCAGCAGAAAGAGGATGGAATCAATCACCATCACAGTGGGGAACTGCCATAATAAATTGGCTCCTCATATCTGCTACAGGCAATCCCCGCTATTCGCGGTACTCAGTATTCGCGGTTTCGCTTATTCGCGGTTCTTTAATTGAGCCATTGTTTCGCTATTCGCGGGAGTCGGATTCGCTTATTCGCGGTTTACTTCACGGTTGTTTAGTAATAATTTTAATAAAGCTGTGATGGATTTGGGTCAAAAGCTCAAGATTTTGGAGCTAATAAGAGAAGGAGAAAAAATTGCCATAATTGCACGTAGATTCGAGGTTAATGAGTCAACTATTAGGTCTATCCGCAATAACGGGGATTCTGTTTCGGTATTCGCGGTTTCGGTATTCGCGGTGTTTTTCGGGAACGAATTAACCGCGAATAGCGGGGATTGCCTGTACCTGGGACTGCACATCGACGCCAGACTGCGGTTCAACATGCACCTGGCAAAGGTCAGCGAGAAAGCGAAGAGTGTGGCTGGAGCCCTAGCGAGAATCATGCCAAGGATCGGCGGTCTCAGGAGGAGCCGAAGGAAGCTGTACGCTAATGTAGTCTCCACCTTTGCGAATACAGTGGTTATAAGACTGAGTCAAGAGTAAGGTGAACATCAAGACCAACGACGATAAAAACCAAACGAAAAGAAGGCAGTTGAAAGGTGGCTGGGGTTCACACCGAAGTAATGTCTAGCGACGGATTCCGATGTGGACTCTAAGTTGCCGTCTTTTATTTATGATTTGTAAACACATGTATAAATCCTTATGATAAATAAAAGACTTTATAAAAAGAACACACAATCAATAAACATCATCTTAACAAAATAAGAAGCTATCTTGCACAAATGGCTGCAACGGCTATCAGGCATAGAGTGTCGCACACTTCGCGCTGGTTGAATTACTGTTAAAGATAAATTTTTTCATGATTTTGCCCAAAGTGGTACCTCGATGGCTTTAAATACCAACCTACATGCGCTAAATTCATACTATTCTATTGGTAAAGCCGTTTGGATTACGGTGTTAATGATTGGAGGTTCGCTGGAAGTACAATTCACTGGCATACAAATTTTTCGTCAAGCTTACGGTTGTCGAGTAAAAAATTGATGAAGATTGATACATCCGCATAATCCGTCATTTTAGAAGCGAAGGGGCTAGATGAAAATCCCGATAATGTTTTACTCGAAGGCTTATAGCAAAATTGCACGACAATAGGGGTTTCCAGAGCGCTCCGATAGCAGGAAGAGGTCAAAAATCGACTTTCAAAAAAATGTTCGGAATCCACTGAATCCGAATCTTTTTCGCCATCAGATCGATTTAAGGTCATTTGAAGGTCATTGAAAGGTCAAATCATGAAAAATAGGTTTAAAAATCTGAAACTATCCCTACATAAGTTTTCGAGGATGCTGAATTCAAATCTGAAGTCAGATGACCTTTACGATCTTACCTTCAAGGTCATTTGAAGGTGAAACTTCAAAGAGCATTCAATATCAAAAAATATCACATTTATGTTTTGAGGGTCGCTGAATTTAAAACAAAGTTCATTTTCACATACTGAGTTATTTTAAGCTTATTTCAAAATAAAATCTAGTGAAAACGATAAAGTATCGAAAAATATTAAAAATAGAATTGAACATTAAACAATTCAAGTAATTTGATCTATAATTTGAGTAATTAAATCAAAACAAAATTCGAGTAATTCGATTCAAAAAATTCAAGTAAATCAATTTACCATAGAAAAAAAAGAAGCGCTGCAAGATGTGTAACTAAAGTCACATTTAAAGGTAAAAAATTAAAAAAATAAATAAATAAAATAAACCAAATAAAATCAAAAAGTATTTGACGTTGCACTTGTGGTGTCTGAGCATATTATACAAAAATCAACAGAAGTGCAACGTCAAATACTTTTTCATTTTATTTGGTTTATTTTATTTATTTATTTTTTTTTTTAATTTTTTACCTTTAAATGTGACTTTAGTTACACATCTTGCAGCGCTTCTTTTTTTTCTATTGTAAATTGATTTACTTGAATTTTTTGAATCGAATTACTCGAATTTTGTTTTGATTCAATTACTCAAATTTTAGATCAAATTACTTGAATTGTTTAATGTTCAATTCTATTTTTAATATTCATAAAGACGTTACACATCTTACAGCTGTTCTTATACAGCTGATTTTGTTTTCTATTGTAATTTTAATCGATTTTAATAAAACTGATTTTTCGATTTATTCTGTAGTCAATACTTTCCGATAAATTGTGATATCGTTTAATGAGTGCGGAGGCCGCTTGCGCGGCCTCTACTTACATTGCCTCAGTTTCCAAACGAATTTAAGTTTAATTCAAATTTTCGATTTAGTTTAAATAATTTTAAGCGTAAGGTTTGGTTGGGATTGCCGAGGCCGCGAAGCGGCCTCGACATATTATCACCCTTCACTAAAAAATTTGATGAATTTAAAAACTCCTTTACTCAAAATATTCATTAAACATTCATCGATTTGTAGTTATATTTACGTAAATTTATAAAAATTAGTGTACCAGAACACTACGATTTATGATTTACGATTGTAGACATGTGCGCGAAGCTATACAATAACTCGAGTTATTATTTGACCGATCAACACGCATGAAAACACAATGTGAGACAGAGACGCAGAGATACGCTACATTGTACGTTTCATAGAAATGAGCTCTGACTGTCGAGTACTGCTCGCCCGTGCTGTGCGTGTCACAGCAGAAGCGCGCAAGCAGTCACTCGACACTGCCTAGCGTAGACCAATCACAGCGCGAGAAGCAAACAGACGCTACTGAGACTAAAAACCTACGATTATCGCACTCACTCGCTCGCTCGTTTTTCACAGATTCACTAGCCTACCCAACGAGCCATAAGACGTTACACATCAAAAAGATTTTGTATAGGTTTCTGGAGCTGAGTAATTCAGCTTTTTGATTGAGTAACCTGTAAAAAATCAAGATCATTTCAAGGTTAAGTTAATGAAAAGAGGGCAAAACTCAATGAAATATTGGTAATTTCTTATGTCTTTTTACTTATTTTCCTTTGTAACACACCTTTTTTTCTTCAAACGATCGTCATAAAGGGTGCCGTCTGCGCTTAGTTCCTCTATGTTCGCTCTCTCTCTCTTCAACATACAGCAGTAATCAGACATCATTGCAACATCCCGTCTACCTTGATGTCGCTGCTCCATATGTTTAATGTCTTGACGGAATCGTTCTCCTTGCTTGTTGTTAAAATCACCACAGTTTTTCGGGAATTCGTCCGAATGGTTATGCAAGAAATGCAGTTTGTAAGACATATTACATTCCATTTCACCGAAATTGTTTATCATTGTTGATATTAAAACTTTGTAATCATCGCTTCTGCTATTACCTACAAAATTTTCCCTTACATTTTTGAAGCTAACCCATGCAGCTTTCTGAATCTCAGTCATCTAAGTTGAAAAATTGTCATCTTTCAGCAATTTTTTTATTTCTGTTCCATCGAATATTCCTTCATTTAATTTGGCATCAGATTTATAGGAAAATTTAGATTCTAAATATTTGTAGCATTCATCGCTCTCACTCAAAGCTTTTACAAATTGTTTTATAATGCTATGTATGTGTGTTTGGTATGTAAAGGAGGTAGCGAAACTTTTTCAGGGTCTACTAACGGACTGTTCATAACATTATGATGTCCAGATTTTAGAGAATTTCTCTCTCTTGTAGTCAGTATAATGTTCTTTACGATCTCTGCTGTCACATTAGCACTTGAAACATGGGTATTTTGTAAATCCAGATGGCTGTCCTTCTGATGGGAGGGAGCCAACATAGAGAAACTAAACGCAAACGGCCACCTTTACGCCGATCGTTTGAAGAAAAAAAGGTGCATTACAAAAGAAAAAGTTAAAAAGGCATACGAAATTAACAATATTTTATACAGTTTTGCCCTTTTTTCATTCACTTAATCTTGAAATGAGCTTAAAATAAATCAGTATGTGAAATTGAACTTTGTTTCAAATTCAGCGACCTTCAAAACTTGAATGTGATATTTTTTGCATTCTTATATTGAATCCTCTTTGAAGTTTCACCTTCAAATGACCTTGAAGGTAAGATCGTAAAGGTCATCTGACTTCAGATTTGAATTCAGCATCCTCGAAAACCTGTATAGGAGTTTTTTTCCAATTTTTTAACCTTTTTTCATGATTTGACATTTAAATGACCTTTAAATGACCTGTAAATGTCAACATTTAGTCAAAATGACCTTGAATTCGAATTCAGCGACCCTCAAAACATGAAAAATATATTTTTCGGATTTTTATTTCGAATTTTTTAAGTTTTATCTTCAAACAACCTTGAAGGAAAGGTCGTACAGGTCATCTGACTTTAGATTTGAATTCAGCATCCTCAAAAACTTATGTAGGGATAGTTTCAGATTTTTAAACCTATTTTTCATGATTTGACCTTCAAATGATCTTCAACTGACCTAAAATCGATCTGATGGCGAAAAACCGACGACAGATCCGGATTCAGCGACCCCAAAAACACAAGATCTTCTGCATCCGGTCTCTGGAACTGAACATTTTTTTTTTATGTGCCTGTGTTGTTTTTGTTGTTAAGATCTTTAAAAGTTTATATTTCCGGTAGAGAGAGAACGTCCTGAAAAGCTGGAGTAGGTGATGGATTTGGACATTCAATATTAATAAAACTATGATTATCGGAGACTTTACAATTTTCATGATCACTCCCATAACTATAATTTTCAAAATTTGATGCTTTGCGGAGTTGATCGAGTTGTCTTCTCCAGTATAGATCCTGGTCGCAGAGCTTGCATATATGTAGTATCGCTCTCCCAGGCAGTCAACTATCTCAGCTTTTACCCACTTTTTTTCGTTGAGGTTTCTGTAGTCAATCGCCCAGGCGAGCTCTCCAGGAGTAAATCCTTCTACACGTTTTTCTTTGTAGTTTCTTATGTTTGTCCTTCTCGATTACTGAGCTTTCTTTTAACAGGTCGAAGCATGTGCGCAACTTCCTTCCGAACATCAGTTTGGCAGGGCTGTCGCCTGTGTAGCAGTAAGGAGTGTTGCGATACGGGAAGAGATATCTTGCAATTAACGTGTTCGTGCCCAATTGGTAATTTTTTGGGTCGAGCAGCGTCTTTTTAAGACCACTTTTGAATGATCTAACGGCATTCTCTGCCGCTCCATTAGACTTTAGGTGCCAGGGTGCATTCTGCGGGTATTTTATGTCATTAAGATCACAAAAGTTTACAAACTCTTTAGAGTCGAGCTGTTTGCCATTGTCTGAAATTATTTTCCGTGAAATGCCGTACCTTGATGCGTAATTTCTCAGCTTATTGACTGTGTTGATTGCGTCAATTTCGTTGAGTGCGTAGACTTCTGGCCACTTCGAGTACGAGTCCGTCATAATGAGGTACATCTTATTCTTTACAGGTCCGAGAAAAGCTACGTGAAGTCGTTCGCCAACTTCTTTGCAGTCATTTTATTTAAAAAGCTCGGCCTTATTCGGATTTGGTGCATAAGTGTTGCAGACGTCGTAGCTTTTGGCGTACTGCTCGATATCTGTATCCAATTTAGGCCACCAAAAATACTGCCTAGCCATAGCTTTCATCTTACTCGCACCCAGGTGCATTGAGTGTAGCTCTTCAAGTGTTCTGAGGCGGTGTTTTTTTGGAATTAGGACTCTGTAGCCCCATATAAGTAAATCTTGATTGATGCTTAATTCTGATAAATGGTGAAAGTATGGCTTTAACGCGTCGTCGATACTTTCGGGCCAACCATCTCGTGTGTACATAAACACTTTACTTAGTATTGGATCAGTGCGCGTTGCTTTCTTGATTTGTGCATGATCCACTGGCAATTTGTCTTCGATGATGAATCTTACGTAGTCGATTTCAGGTTCTTCAGATTCTTGACTGGTGATTGGCAACCTCGATAAACCATCTGCTCCGCCGTTGTCCTTACCCTTCACATAATTGAAAGTGTAGTCAAATCCGCTTAGGAAGCAGGCCCAGCGCTGCAACTGTCCGGCTATCATCTGGGGGATGTCTCGCTTCTCGCCTAATATAGCCATCAGTGGCTTACGATCGCAGTACAACTCGAAGTGTCGACCACGTAGGTACTGGTAGAACTTCTTGCAACTCCAATATATTGCTAGAGCTTCTTTGTGTATGACTGCGTATCTTTGTTCTGCTTTTGACAGTCCTGGATGCGACGCAGATTGGTTTTTCTGTTTTTTCAACTCCTTCAAGCACCATTTCTCCAAGTCATCCATTGCTAGATCTGCTGTAAGCGAGGAAATGCAACTACCCATCAGTGTGCCATATAAATGTCTGTAAAATGTGTTATTAAACTTGAAGTATGTGTTGTTGAAGAGGAAAGTCATCACTTAATGGATCTTGTTGAAGGACAAACGAGATCTTGATACACCTGCGTAACGTCGTTCCAAGCTTTCCAGTACTAATTCTAGCGATACATTTGTAAAAAGGGCTACTACGTCTAGGGATATTAACACATAATCTGGGGGTATGCAGACATCAGCAATCTTAATTTTCACCGTTATCAATGTGTGAGGCTGGGCGTTTGATGACAGTTGACAATTCTTCGTATAAAATCTTAGCAAGTGTACTATTATTCTTCTGCACCCGACTACCTTAAACACTGATTACTTGAGCTCTACCACTCGTAAACCTGTGAGACAAGAATGGTACTTAGAACGGTTACAATTTTCATCAATATACTTTACGGGATCGTTTGTACAATATTTATATCATAGTTATCTATCAATTACAATTATTAAATAATTATGTTAATCCTATACTCATAAATACTACTGACGATATTCATTGCAAAGCCCGCCGTCAACCAGCTGTCACTTCGGTTAGGTCGACACGCTTTGCCATACCCCAATGAAAATATTTTATAAGTTCTTAGGCAAGATTTTAAAAAGATCTTGTATAAGATCTTATGCAAGAACTTACGTATGATAATCGACCTTGTAAGTTCTTGTATAACATCTTCATAAAATAGTAAGACATCTGGTAGCAAGTTCTTGTATAAGATCTTGATAAAATAGTAAAACTTCATCATAATCATAAAATTCAAATTATATAAGAACTTGTTATTTCGAGTCTAGTAATGAAATCAAAAACTCTCCTAAGAATTTGCTACCTGAAGTCTTCCAGTTTTATCAAGATCTTTTTAAAATCTTGCCTATAAGAACTTATAAAATATTTTCATTGGGGCATAAGTGTATAACGATAAATACGATTTTTTCAAATAAAATATTCCATAACTATTTTAATCAAACGTACTTTCGAGCGGGGATAAAGGAAAATCGTGTACACGACGTGGGACAAAAGTTCAACGCCTTGCTTTACGAGCACTCGGCTTCGCTTCGGGTGCATAACCTAACAGGGATAGAAGTTCAACTTTCGTGCCTTGTTACGTAATATACTATTTCCAGAGCCACTGCAATGTGAATATTTGAAAAAACAGGTATACATCTATCTATTCGTTTATATTGAATAGTTTTTAAAGTTACTGGTATTTTTGTCAGCGTATTAAAAAAAAATACAATTGCTGTAAAATACCGCTTCCGCAAAGCTGAAATAATTTTGCTTTTGCCATTTTTGGATAAAATAGGTCCATAATAGTAGTTTATGACACGTGTATCATATTCAATTTTATAGCACTGAGCTATGTTCACATATATGCTCGTTTTTCCGAGTAATAGTCGCATTTTTTGGTACCATGAAGTGAGGTTAGCGCACGAGCACAGCGAGTGTAATGCGAACGATCCGGTGCCGTAAAGTCACTTATGCCACCGAAAAGCGTGCCATGAATGTGAACTTAAGACACGTACTATAAAAATTATATATGCTTATGGCTTTTCTTTTACATACCTGCCCCCAAGTATGACAGTCATTTCCCCAGGAACTGCAATCCCTTTTGCTGAAAAAAGTTCAATTAATTTATTTAGTTATAATATAAGTATGCTTTAAAAAATACATAGATCATGTAATATATTCAAATGCGATTAACTTTGTGAGACTCACCTTGTAAAGCAAAAATAAGTTTTAATAAAGTTTATAATTTAATCGGTGGTTTACTGAGTACCCGGTTTTTTGGTTTGACAGGTTGAGTTCGAGTCAAGTCGGAAAAACCGAGTACTGGAGTTTTTACGAATTCGTGAGTTTTTTTGAGTACACGACGTGTTGCGAGTTTTAGCTCAATAAATGATTAATTTATTATGCATAAGTTATCATTGACATTTTAGAGGCTTAAAAGCCAATACAATTTGTACAGCTCATTTCTCAGCCTCATCAAAGGAAAATATCGTATATCCCAGTTGAAAATAGTTGCATGGATTTCCTCGGGGATCAGCTACGTGGAATCGATGCTGATCGGAGATAATTGATTCTGCGTGGAAATGGCGTGGAAACAGTGTGGAAAGTACATCGATTCCACGAGGACAGTTTAGAGATTCCACGAGAAAAGATCATAAGTTACATGTAGATTTTTGCCAGTTTATCCCTGAGGACTTTCTTGGACGATCCACGAGGATATTTTGGTCATTAAAAAAATGAAAAAAAGTTTCTTCCTTAAGGGGACCGTCCTGTGTTAAAAGCTTAGATTCAAAAAATAGCTATATAAATCGAAATAGTGGAAATTTTTTTTATGCGATAATAAAATACGTTCATTAGACACCTGATCTACTTATAAAAAAGAGAACGGCCGAAAAGTGAAGCCGCGTACCTCTGATTGACCGATAAAAATTCCGACCCATAAAAATTCCCTGAGATACTTTGATGGTCGTGATCACCCCTGATCATATTTATATCGTGATTCCCTAACGGTAACATGGTGAAAAAAAATCATAAACTTGATTTTTTGCAAAAAATTTTACGTTTTTTTTCGTATAAACAGCCATAACTTTTTTATTACGCAAAGAATCGAGATTTTGAGCTCAGTTTCTGGAAGGACATTAAATTTTACATCGAAATAGGTCCATACGAAACTTTTTGGAGGCCTCAAACTACGAAAAAAATCGCTGCGAAAACCAACAAAAAAATCAAGCAGTTTGAGGGCACTTTTCTGAAGATTTTGAGACCCCATAGATCAATATTGATGAAGAGCTCACGTCAGAATCGCGTGGCAAGTAAATTCAATTATCATATTTAGTATTTTGAAAAAATAGGCGTAATTGGCATTTCAGAGCTTGGGTAGAAGTTTTTTTTGGTCAATCAGGTGTCTAATGAACATATTTTACTATCACAAAAAAAATTTCCACTATTTCGATTTATATAGCTATTTTTTGAATTTAAGCTTTTAACACAGGTCGGTCCCCTTAAGCAGGATTTGAACCCAACAGATCCTGGATTCAATTCCTACCCATAGGAGAAACTTTTTTTCATTTTTTTAATGACCAAAATATCCTCGTGGATCGTCCAAGAAAGTCCTCAGTGATAAACTGGCAAAAATCTACATGTAGCTTATGATGTTTTCTCGTGGAATCGATGTAACTGTTTCCACGCTATTTCCACGCAGAATCAATCTCCGATTAGCATCGATTCCACGTAGCTGATCCGCGAGGAAATTCATGCAACTATTTTCAACTGGGATAAGCCGAGTGGAGTATCAAACTCGAAAAACATTGATTTTTATATGATGATATCATAGAGTAAATTTCAATAAACAATCGCTCAAACTACTCAAATCTTTCAAATTTTACTCAACATATAGAAAATCTTGTTCGTATTCTAATGATTGAAAATTCTCATATTAGTCATTGGTCAGTGTAATAGGAACATTTTATTTGTAACAAATATATCTTCTTATTTTCAATTACATATGATAAATGATTGAAAATAAAAATCAATCCGGACTTATTTTGAACTTTTTATTGATCTTAAATGTGTATAAGTTGTTTTCAACAATGCGATTGGTTTCGAAATTAACAAGGAGGATGTGGATTTACGAACCAAAATATCGATTTAACTTTTAGTTTTCTAATTTCATAATCATTAAAAAGTTGTGGCAATTTTTTCTACACTTACCACTGTTTACTATCCTTTTACGGATTTTTCGTTTAGAGTCAATAGCATATACTGAAACTTCTTTCCATGATACAACCACCCCTTCTTGAACATAATTATTGACCGAAGATGTCTTCATTATCACTGTGATATTTCATACAATCAATGAGTATATTGAATGAAACTAGTTCAATAAATTATTGTTTGTGAGTGTGAACACAATTTTTGTTGATATTTTCTCAACTAAAAATCATTGTGTACACGCATACATTATAGCAAAAAAGACATTTATTTTTACCTCGACCTAATTCTCGACTCGATCACATAATCAACCTATTTTTAAAAATGTTATATAAATCAAAAGTAAATTAAGTAGTCTATAATTAATAAATAATTAATAAAAATGATCAAGTAGAAATCAAAAACTACGGATTTTTCACGATTATAAATATTATATTTAGCGTTACGTATCTACAAAAAAATGTATATGTAATTGAATTAAGATCATAAAAATATTGAACAGAGCATTTTTAATTATTTCAACTAACTGCAAAAATTTACTCAAGTTCTAACAGGAGATTTATGGGAAAAAATGTCCAAAAAATTAATCTTTTTTCGATAATTAAGGTTCAATTATATAAGATAACATGTGACTTGAGTGACATATATTCTGACACGCGGGAAAAACGTAAACATAGCGAACTCTGGACTCTGCATATGCTAGCTCGTGTACTATTATTGTTATTATTGCCGTTTATCTTGTACACACGAGTGCGCCCTATTTCGCTATGTTTACGTTTTTCCCACGTGTCCGGTGTCAGCTAATTGTCACTCAAGTGTACTGGTGCTGCCAAATACCTGGGCACTTTCAGAATTAATTTTTTTGTTTGCAAACCAGGGTTGTAGACACAATTAGTTTAAATTATACAGATAAAATCCAATTGATTTCAGTAATTCGTGCAATTAATGGCTCTGCCTCTACAAAAAATGGGATAATTATTTTTAAGTATAAAACCAAATTCGAATATTAGACTCGAGTTGTGAGCTGTCGATATATCTCTGACGTAGAGGTTAGCAGTTACTCAGCTAGAAATATGAGGTAAAAATTTTTCAGCTTGAATATCCAACCCCATAATAGAGCTAGAATTTCGTGCCCAAAAATCCTGCCAAAAACCGAGTTTAAATTTTAAGTGGGATTACAACTGGAAATCCACCTAGAAATCCATACAGAAACTTTAACATTATGGGAATTTTAAATTGTGGGAAAATAAATTATGGCAAAAATGTAGATTTAGATCGTTTCTCATAGTTTTCCCATAATTCAAAAATCACGTTTAAAAAAAAATTATGGGAAAACTATGGGAAACGAGCTAAATTCATATTTTTGCCATAATATCTTTTCCCACAATTTTACTACAATTTATTTACACGCGGGTCAGATGGTTTGAAAAAAATATAATCGTCGATAACGTAGTACATGAGACCGTTATTTGTGATCTCGAATTAATTTACCACATACACGGCACCATGTGATATATGACATTATGAATTAATCTGTGAATGACGTACCATTGTAGCATGACATGGACTCCACAAAACTTAAATCAATTTTTTATTTTTAAAAATATGAAATATAACTTTTAGTTATATAGTTATTTCAAAGTCTTTTTTAAAGTTAAGGTCAATGTGGGTATTTTCGCTCAGCTAAGCCCCTATTTTCGCTCAACTTTGAATTCAATGTTTACATGAAATCAAAACTTAATACTAGTATTTAAATAATAAATTTATGTTAAACATGCTCAGCTCAATACGATCAATTTAAAAAAAAAATTTTTGTGTTAAATTAGATCTTTAATATTAAATTATTGAGCGAATATAGAGACATGAGCGAAAATACCCACGTTGACCTTATAAAATTGATTCAAGTAATATTTTTTTTTTTTTCTAAATTGGTTCAGTAGTAAAATTTAAAAAGTTCAAATTTCGAGGTCCCTGGTTCTAATCTCTGCGCAGGAATTGAAAAAAATAAATAAATTACGAAGATTTCGTGTATAAGGTCTCTTCGTGTGCAGTCACATGTTTTATTCCATTTAGAATCCTCGGTAGGGAAAATAATTTTTTACTATCGATAATTTTTTTTTTGGTTATTTAGTTTTACAAATTTTTTCATTAAAGATTGTTTTGCGTTGCTACTCAGTATTACACTATATGGTAACTTAGATTAGTCTGCTGAAACGCCGCAATTTTTCATATGTATGTAACGTCTTATGGTTTGTGTACATTTTCTAACCCTTACCTCTGTTCCGCCGTTCAGAATCGAATTCAACCTATTTTTCGATTAGTTCTGTTTATTGGAACAAGGAATTCTGTATACTTATTCGTGTTCCAATTAAGAGCAAAAAAAAGTTTGTAAATTTATATATTAATTTTTAAGAGACTAAATAATTATAATATCTTTTACGTTGATTAGAATTGCCCAATGTATTGTTTATGATATTATTAAGTACTCATTTTGTTTTAACAAAATAACGAATTGTCAATTTAAATCATCGTTTTCAAAAGGTGTAATGTTCAGAGTACTTTTTGTGATACATGAAAAAAAAGCTAATCAAAATCTTTATATTTAAAAAAAAAGCAATTCAAATTCATTTAATATATACACAATTTTGAGTTTTCACGAAAAACATTGTACATAAAACGATAGTATTACACTTCAACAGTAATACTGGAGATTGCTAACATATGTTATCTGTTCAAAGCAGAAGAGTAATTTTCACTCAAGTAACATTTAAAATTAATGTAATATTGTTAGTTAAATTTAACATAATATTTCTTAAAGAGTTAAAGAATTCATACATTGTATCTTTGGACTTTTAATCAATTACCTTTACTTTCCACTTGTCAATTACTGAACAGAAAAGGGATGCTTTGAAATTTTGGAATCAAAAATATTAACAATAATTATTTGTCAAAAATTCACTAAAGTTCAAAGTATCACTAGTGAGGTGAAATATTTAGTATTTCTATTTCTACTTTTTTTCAGTAAAAATTATTTAGTAAATATCTAGCTGTAGAATGAAAAAGTATTTGTGAGACAAAGTTAGCCTATTTGACATTTTAATTACTGAGACAATGCTTTAAGATGAGCTGTTGATTAGTTAAATAAATTAATTCATGTAAAATACATATTATTAGTGTAATATTTAGAAATATTTTTCAACTTTTTACATTGAATAAGTAAATATCAAATTCTATTTCAGAAATAATTTCCTGTTTTGAATTGCATCAAAAATCTAACGCACTCAGTTAAATAATTCTATAAAAAATGGAGGAAGAATATGATGCTATCGTGCTAGGTACTGGCTTAAAAGAATGTATTTTATCCGGTATGCTGTCAGTGAGTGGAAAGAAAATTTTGCACATTGATAGAAATAAGTACTACGGTGGTGAATCAGCTTCTATTACACCTCTGGAAGAACTGTTCAGGTTGGTATATGATAAAATTGTTATACTATTAAATTTTTAAACAATATCTTTTCTTAGTTAAATTTAAGCAATTGAATATATCACTCATAGTTAATACACATGACTAATAGTGTATATTCATGAAATCCTATGAAAAATCACCATTCTCTATAATCCTGTTAAAACGTGCTAAATTGTAAATAATATTTTGAATATAACATCAAAACTTTAATGTGTATTGAAAAATATTTTACATGTTTCAATTATATTTTCAATTAAAATCATGTAATATTCCTGATGTGTAAATTTTTCTACAATTTTCTTTAGCTTCTCATTATGACAAATTATTGAATTATAAATATATAATATTGTTTTGAATTTTTCTACAAAATTAACACTAAATCATTTTTTGATCCAATTTCAAATTCATTTAATATATACACAAGTATGCGAATAATTTGTTACTATTTTTTCTTATCTTGAACTGTCTTAAAAAATTTTAACTTATACATCTTAATTATAAATACAAGCTGTACTTCAGCTTGAAAAATGTATATTTTTATGAGAATGAGGACACACTGGATAATTACGTTTTTACTTAAAACAGTGTCCAGGCATAATTCTTGTTTAATTTAAGTTTATTCAAAGTTTGAAACTTTGAGTAGCGAAAAAATTACCATAAAGGTTTCAATTATTTTTTAATTTATGAAAATGAAAAAAATGAGTGATGTGTTATGCAAATTATCAACTTAGTTACAGTGTGTTATTAAAAAGTTATATTTAATATTATTACAGTACTGCTTTTATAAAATTTTCATTGGGAAGAATACTTCAGAATCACACTATAACAATTTTTGTAATATAGTATACATATAATATAATTTTATAACAAAATATGTTCAGTTTGATGGAGACAGATGGATAAATAGAATCATAATTAAGATTGTTTTTAATATATCTCAGCTAACTTTGCATAATCACATGGGATTATAATTTCACTTTCAAAAATATGTTATTAACAATAGTTACTATAAATGTTAAAAATCATGCAATTCATTTTTGAATTTCAATATTAGAATTTTTTCATGTGTAGTTACAGTTTAAAAGATAAGAGTTTTAGTTTGCCTAAATACTTGTCAAAATACATCTGATGTCATTAATGTCATAGCTAAGTAATTGATATGATGATTTTAGTTTTGGTGGAATATATTTAATTTTATTAATATCATAGTTGAGTATTTAATAAAGTTAGACTTAATTAATGAGAAAACACATTATTATACTTAGCCTTTGACAATCATTTGAAAAACGAATTACTACGATTTTGTATTATTCCGACAGAAACTATTTAGTTTTCATGCAAGTTCTAATATGAAAACGTTTGCCAAAATATTTAACAGAATGTAATCAATGTTATTAATACCGTAGCTAAGTAAGTAATGATTAACAATGTGAAATTAGTCCTTTTAAAGTATACATAAGAAAGAAATTATTAGGTTTAAGGTAGTTCGATGATTACATCAATTGAATGAGAAATCGAAAAAAAATTCGTACACTGTGGAACTCTATGATTTTTTTTCAGTATATTTTATCGTGCTCTTTTTGAAGAAAATTGATCTTGAAAACTGAAAAATTAACTTGGGCCATTATGAAGATTCGTGGGAATTAGCTCTTACAATATTTTCAACTACTTCCAACATTGAAAACCAAAAAAAAAAATTATCTTATGAAAGCTGAGTTTTTCTAGATTGATTTGCACTACACTTCTTGACGTGAGCTTAGCACAGTGCTATAAAATAATGTACGATACTCGTGCCATGGGGACACTTTTAGGGTCAGCTATTAGGACATTTACGCTTCTTTATTATGTTATCGCACAAAATTAGGAGTAATAATGAGTTTGAATGAAAAATGTAGTATCATTTCATTCATTTTGACGGTCATTAGAGGCCGAAATGTGAGGTTAGGACGACTATATAATCGTAAATAGTCTTTAAATCATGAAATAATATTTTTTATGGTTTCTACTTCACATAAATATACTTTGAATTATAGTTTTCCATCAAAAATACTTCGTAAATTTCTTGTTAATCGACAAATAAGCATTGATAGAGTTTTGCTATTTAAGCTTGGCAGCTCTAACTTTTTTGTATTTTTTTTTATAGATATAGAACAGTACTTAACAATACAAGTATCATAAGTAACACTTTTTGACACGGCGTAGTTTAGGACCCGAGTGCAGCGAGGGTCCTAATAGCTGGGCGGAAAAGTGTCCCCATGGCATGAGTGTCTTACATCATTTTATAGCACTGTGCTAAGTTCACATTTATGCCCCCTTTTCCGATGCTGCGGTGCCAGAATGTGCGACTTATGCCACAGAAAAGCGTAATGAGAACTTATGTCTCGCATTGTAAATCCTTTTTTGAACACTGATAAAACTGGAATTTTTTATTTTTCTACCAACCACCTCCCTAAACTTTTGTACATTTTATAATTTTGATATGTATATATATATTATAATAGCTTTATGTAATTATACAATTAATCAGTTAATAATATTACTTTCAGTAAATTCAACGTTACAATGCCTGCGAACCAATATGGAAAAGGACGAGAGTGGAACGTTGATTTAATACCAAAATTTTTAATGGCCAATGGTTTACTAGTTAAATTATTGATCCACACGGGGGTTACTCGCTATTTAGAATTCAAATCAGTTGAAGGATCATATGTTTATAAATCTGGAAAAATATCGAAAGTACCTATTGATCAACAAGAAGCATTAACCAGTGATCTTATGGGCATATTTGAAAAACGTAGATTTAAAAATTTTTTAGTTTGGGTTCAAAATATGCAGGAAGATGATCCAAAATCTTGGGACAACTTTGATCCTTTTAATAATCCGATGAGCTCATTATATAGCAAATTCAGCTTGGATAAAAACACTCAAGATTTCACTGGTCATGCCCTGGCTCTACACCGGTAAGATATATCATTTTTTATATATCATTATATACGGGATATCCAAAAATCGACTAAAAATATTAGTACCATCGGATAGGGGGTGAAATTCTGAACAAAAAATCCGAATGGATTTTTTTGATTCAATGCGATCTCAAAGAGTTATTAACAAAAAACCGAGAGCAAATCAACAGAAAGTGCTTATAGCTTAAATGTCGATTTCCTGGAAACACTAATTGAATTAAGGGCGTGCATCCCAATGATCTGATTCACCAGACAACCTGTACAATTACAGTAAAACTTCACACAAGTCATATCAATTCATTGCATTTAACAGCCTTATTTTCAAAAGTAGTCGATGTGCACATCAGAAATTTGACCTTTTTAGTTGAAGCACGCACAGTATCAAATTAAGAAAACACAAACACCTTAAATTTACAAAATCTCAAAATATATTGATTATTGGGAACTTGTAAAAGTTCTCTTTTTCTCCACTCATTTTTTAACCAGAAAAAACTCTGACTTGCCCATAATTCATTTACATATAACTTATGCTGCTTAGATAAGTCAAAATTCAATAATAAGTAAATTATCACAATTATTATCGAAAAATTCAAATTGAGAAATTTATTTTTGAGACTACACTAAGAAAAAAAAAGGTAGCGTTGTTGGAGGCGCTCAAACAAATTCTGCTTGGGTATTGCCGTAGCAGTGGCTCGTGTTGATTCAACTCAGTAATAAAAGCTCCTACCCAAAATCTGAAATCTAAATTACATACTTGTTTCATAATACTAACAAGGAGACCACATGAGATGCGGGTCACCAAATGTCCTGAAAATTTTTTTCTGGTCTCCTGGTATCTAATAATAAAGCCCCCTATGCTTAGTTTGATCCAATGGGCCTTAGGGCCCATTTTAAAAATCATTTTCTAGTTTATTGAAAAATCTTTGTGATTTTCTAACTCGTGATAAGACATTTAAAACGGAAAATTGCACAATGTACAAGTCTCAGAATTAGTCAAAGAATACATTTGAATTTTTTCAGAATTTTTGAAACCTACAATCACTTATTTTCAAAGGTCTCTGAAATTCTTAAGAAAAAAGTAAAAAATTAAATTTGGGCCTTTGAAAATAGGTGATAGCAGGTCTCGAAAATTCTGAAAAAATTCAAATGTATTCTCTGACTAATTCTGAGACTTGTACATTGTGCAATTTTCCGTTTAAAATGTCCTATTACGAGTTAGAAAATCACAAAGATTTTTCAATAAACTAGAAAATGATTTTTAAAATGGGCCCTAAGGCCCATTGGATCAAACTAAGCATAGAGGGCTTTATTATTAGCTACCAGGAGACCAGAAAAAAATTTTCAGGACATTTGGTGACCCGCATCTCATGTGGTCTCCTTGTAAGTATTGTGATTCGATTTACTGGCCACACGATTCTTGCTCGAATTCTATACCGATTTTGATGATTGAGGTCACCAAATCTTCAGTAAAATACCCTCTTCCACTTGAACAGACTTTGGAAAAATTGTGTACAACTTAATGTAGACGTCAAAATACGGAAAATTTTAAGAGAATCAATATTTTATCAACGTTAAAGGGCATATTTAAATTCTTGGGAAAGAAACCAAAAATGTTTTCCAAATTCTACTTCGCTTAAGTGGATTCTTGAATCAACACTACGTCAATTTTCTAAGAACAATCATATTTATATAATTTTTTTATTTGGCCCAAACAAGACTTTTCGTAATGCATATGTTTAATTCATTAAAATATTTTTTAGGAATGATGATTATATCTCTCAGAGTGCAATCATCACCATAAGACGAATAAAATTATACAGTGACAGCTTAGCTCGTTATGGAAAATCACCATACTTATATCCGATGTACGGTCTTGGGGAATTACCTCAAGGTTTTGCTCGTTTGAGTGCTATCTATGGTGGTACATACATGTTAGATAAACCAGTTGATGAAATTATTATGGAAGATGGTAAAGTAACCGGTGTACGATCTGGACAAGAAATTGCTAAATGCAAACAAGTATTTTGTGATCCAACATATGTTCCAAATTTAGTAAAAAAAGTTGGGAAAGTAATACGCTGCATATGCTTATTAGATCATCCTATTCCGAATACTAACGCTGCTCTTTCAACACAAATAATAATTCCTCAAAAACAAGTAAGTATTTAAAACTTTATTTTATTGTAAAGAAAAAATGACCCACAAAGGCTACTAGAAAAAAACTATGCCACTACTTTTGGACAATATTGTTTAATCAACTAAAATTCTTGATTTTAAACGTTTCCATATAATTATCCGAGTATTTGTTTATGCTCCAACAGAAATTTTAATTTTTGATTCACTCCTCTTTGACATTCTTATGATATAAACCACAGTTTAATTTCAATCTACATTTTCAACATGAAATTGACATCTTTGAGCCCTAAAAAATGTGAAAAAAGTTGCAGAATAGGCTTTTGCATCTAAAAATAGCTTATTTATGCTATTTTAGCCTTGCGGCACTGTATGCAAAGTTCAGATCGAAGTTATTTAAGTGGCAATGCCTAATAGGAATCAAAACCTGTAGAAAAGTATCCTCGATGGGCTGAGTTTTGTAGAATTTTGATTTAGACCTTCATATCAGTTCTATTACTCAATTTGTGCTCAAAAACATTTATCAATGTTAATAAGTAGATGCAAAGGCCTATTCTGCAACTTTTTTCACATTTTCAGGGCTCAAAGTTGTCAATTTTATGTTGAAAATGTAGATTAACATTAAACTGTTGTTTATATCACAAAATTGACAAAGAGGAGTGAATTGGTCTATGACTCCCCTTAAATCAAAAACAGATTCAGAATCGGTAAAAATCGAGTAAAGACGTCCGTCCGTACGAATTCTTAAGGCTACGAGCGATATCCGAGTCAAAAACTCCGGCTTCAAGACTATTTTTATATGAAATATATAAAATGTCAGAAAAGTCTGGCCTCACTCACAGGTTTATTTTAAAAATTCTGAATCTGACCCATATATAGTCACAGACACAATTTAAATGATTACTATCTTCATCGATTCCTTGAATATAAAAATTTTCTTGCATATCCTCGTTTCATTGAGTTAGGCTTGTTATTCATATGTTTTTATGTACAGTGGATCTGCTTATTAAATCCACATTTAATATGGCTAAAACCCTCTGTTGCGGTCCCATCCTATGTAACTTTACAGGAAATAAGTCGGTTATTATGGACGCTCTGCCGGTTCATGTGGTCAAATATAATTTCGAAATATTGTTTTGTTATCTCATAACATAAACATTTAGATTTGAATTGTCTTGAAAGGCTTAATTTATTAAAACGATATGATAGTGAGTTTTCATCACTGAATTAATGTTAAGTTTCTGTGAAACTTAATATTCCGCGATCTACCCTTGGAAAGTTATTATTAGAACATTTTGATATTGATAATAACAATAATAACAAGGTATAAAAAAAAGAAATGGAAAACGCGTAGACCTCAAAAAAAGTATTGAAAAATAGTGTAAAGTGTCCGAGATAAAAACGCAAGAGTAACAATGGTCCTATCATAAAACAAAAAACGGAAGAATTAACCGAAAAACTTGACAAACCAGAGTTTGTATTTGAGGAGTGCAATTTTATGATGATAATTTTTCGCTTCACTATTCTTATCAAAATTATATAATTCAACTATTACTAGAAAAAAGTAGTAGTTAAAAAATTATATAACTCAACTGTTACTAGTAAAAGTAGTAGAAAAAAGTTGTAGAAAAAAGATTAGTGGCTATTTCAGTTAGAAAACCCGAAATTATTTTTATGTACTATTTTTTAATAAATTTTTTCCATCGTATACTATGATCACTGTTCATTGACCAGCCGCTTAATGTGGCCAAAATCCTTGGTCCCGGCGTGGGCATACCTAGCGGATTCCACTATACATAATCTTAAGGAATTTCTTTCAGAAGTGGGATATACACGTTCAAAAATCTAAAGTTTTCGTTTTGTTTTTGATTCCCTGAGTGATTAAGAGGAGTGCAAGTGTACTTGAGCAGTCGCGCAAAATTTGCTCAAAGTGTATAAGTTTGAGAAATTTTAAGTTAAAAGTCGATCGTTGAGGCGAAGTACAAAACCTAGAAAAATCGCCATGGCAGATGAGCAAGTTCATCAGCTTAAACTTCAACTACAAGCAATCCTTTCCACTCTGCCACCTGACGTTTATAGCGCGAGGAACTCCTTTCAAAAATTTCATTGTATTTTCGAGCAACGAAAGCGCGTTTCTTTCCAGACTCTGTAGGGTCTCCCGACTGTTTCACGCTATCTTTCCATTTTGACTGACACTTGCAAGATTTTTGTTTCTTGTTAGAAAAACCGTAAAGTGATCCCATTGATCGATTGGACTTCCCAGGACCTTGAGTGCCTGGAGTAAATTGCGCAGTCCATTGAGCACACGCATAAGCACGGTGGCCGAGTCGTTGACCATCGCGGGTAATGACATAAGCTTCGCCATAAGCTTGTTGACTAGAAATCGCTTATTGTCGTAGTGACTCAGCAGCACTTGCCATGTGGTAGCAAAATGCTTGCCACCCGACGGAACTTCTTGTCGTAGCTCGGCAGTCTCGCCCTTGACTTAGGTTCTCAAGTAGTTCATCTTGAATATATTGAGTAGATTCGGACGGTCGATCGCCATTTCTCTGAACGTGTCTCTCTTACCCAATCCTGAATGTCACCCGAAAAGTCACCGATGACGATCGTTGGCAGCTTCGCTCGATTGACGTCCATATCATTTATTAAGTCGACGCCGATAGGCTGACTGCCCAGGCGAAGAGTCTCTGCCTTCACTTTGACGAGTCAATCCTGAAAGCGACCTAAATTCGTCAAGAACTCTTCATACGTCGTCTCGTTTTTTTTCGTCAGCGTAGTACAGATCATCTTCATCCACATCCGGACTATCTTCCAACAGTTTGTGAGTGTCTTCGAACTCGGCCTAACCGATTTTTAGTTGCTCCATGTGCGATGTGCACGCGCCCATGGTCATAAACTTTTCGCCCAATTTTCCGAAGTTCTTATACGCATATTTTATTAAATTATTTTCAAGCGCGATCTACGATCAATCAGTCCAACACACCAAGTATATCCGGCTCGAAGGACCATGTTTTTTATTATGGAAGGAAAACAATAAAATCTTTTTCTCTTTGCTGAATTTGCTGTGGCGGAAAGAATTGATTCACTGATCGTAACCAGAATTTTATTTAACAAAAATGTATATAGTATTTATTTAATTAATAAACTATAGTCAATGTATGGTACAATGTTTAGTATAAATGTGTAAATCAAGTCTTACATCAGAATTCAGAATATTATATTACATAGAGAACTCGTTTTCATAGTCGAGTCATACTCGCGGTCCTCAATCTAAATTCTACAGATTGCTTTATTGGACATGCCGATTCCAAACACAGCCGCACATTGCTTTCAGCAAGCCGGTCTGCATCAAAAATAGCCGTCTACAGCATACAGCACATAACCTCTCAAGCGACCGCGAGCTAGGGGGGCTTTTCCTCCCCTTTTAACAGTCAACTCTCTAAGCCGTCAGTAAGCTAGAAGAAAAGTCTTCTTCTACCGACAACTCCTCGAGCTTCGCAGCGGGCTAGAGTCTTCTTCAACCGCTAAACTTGGGCAAGCAGTGCACCTGCTACCAGCTTTCGCTAGAATACACTATCACGTGAGATCGACTCTCTTTTATGCCTAGAACTAGACTTATTCTACTGTGTGAGCGACGATCTCAGGGGACGCCACCTAGCAGTGACTAGTTGAACCAGGAATTTTGAAAAATGCAAATAAAAGGGGAGGAAAAATCTAATAAAAAAATTTAAGTTTAGGGTGTATGTGTCCTCTTGAGGAATTTATTTTCAAACTGAGACACCCTCAAAATGGCCATAAAAAAACCAAAAGGTCTATTTCAACGTGAAATTACCCGTCCTGTTTAAATCTTCAGTAAAAAATAGAGGTCGCCGTGTGAAAAATTGATTTTGATTCGTTGTAGTTTCGAGATTACATTCCAGGTCAAATTCCAGGTCACCATTCAATTTCTCGTCAAAAAATATGTCGGATAGGAGGTTTTCGATTTTTTTAAGCACACTCCGTAAATGTTTAGGGAATTCCATAGTTTTGTTTTATTTTATATGCTTCTAATTGTGCCCGCTAGGTGCTACCGCACCTCTTGATTTTCTTATAAACTTCAAACCTAACTATGTGCGTCATTTAAACATTTTTTCCTGACATCAAATTCAAGGTCTAGATGTCAACTTTCGAAAAAATGTATGAGAGTTTTAAAATTTGCAATATTCAAAGCAAATCGAGTCAAAAAAGGCTTCGTTAAAGTACGACTATTTTTAAAATTAAGTGACTTAAACAAATCAAAAAATCGCTTTGGGGCATGGGTTCAAATTTTTAAAGTAAGCCCAAATTGTAGGGAAGTTTTTTTTTCATACCTTAAAACTTATAAAGGGGCATTCCGGTTAATTTAAAAATAGTACTTTACGATACTAGCGGCATAACTAACACTTTTTGGCACGGCGTAGTGTAGAGCCCGAGCGTAGCGAGGATCCTAATAGCTGGGCCGAAAAGTGTCCCCTATGTCACGAGTATCGTACAACATTTTATAGCACTGTGCTAAGTTCACATTTATGCCCCCTTTTCCGATGCATAAGTCGCATTTTCTGGTAACGCGAAGTAAGGTTAGCGCACGAGCGTATGCGAGTGCGATGCGAACGCAGCGGTGCGAGAATGTGCGACTTGTGCCACCGAAAAGCGTGCCATAAATGTGAACTTATCGTGAACTCATAAATTTATCAAAAATCCTCCTTAAAAATTATTGATTGGCATTAATAAAAGCAGCTACTAAAAAAATTTAGCATCTTTATAATGAACAAGGAACCATAAAAATACAATAGCCAACCTCGATACTTACACTGATAGAAAAACAATCTAATGCCAAGAATCATGTTAATCTTGCGGTGAAAATCGCATGATTCTTGCTGTTAGAAGATTGAAATCTTGCAACAAAATCGGATGATACAAATCGGCTGTTCAATGATGTATTTGACGTCTGCTGATATCACCTTAAGCGGCAAAGGTCCCAGAAGCATGAATGGTCACTGCAACTTTGCATAGTAGTACATGGTCTGCCAATCAGTATTTTAGTTAACCACGGTTAAAAAAAAATTAGCGAAGTAGCGATATAAAAACCTATAAAAGGTCAATACGCGATGTGCTCTAACATTAAGAGACTCGTTGTAAGCAAATAAATCGATGGGGTACACAAAATTACTGCTATGCAAAAGTGTAACCATGCTTCTGGGACCTTTTTAGTTATAAGGTAACTCCGTAACTGTAAGCCAGGCCCATTGAAAAAAGACATTAAAGATACAACCACTTTATCAATTTGTTGAACCTCGTGAACTTTACTTAAATTTTTTCACCTCACATTAACAATACATGAGTAAACAATAAAAAAAATTTCTGGTCAGGTAAATTAGTCCGGGCGCTGGTGACATTTGAGTGAACTTGCGAGATCCCCTCGGCGAATTGACGGATTTCTATGTGTTTTGGGTCGCTGAAACCGAATTTGAATGTCGCCAGGCCGAATTCTTGGTCAATTTTTTGTTATAAACAAATTAATTGTTTAAACAGCTATATCTTGTAAAATATTGAAGATAGATTAAAACAATTTGTTTTTATTTTATTCGTCTTTAAAAACCAAAGAAATTCCATTAAATTAATTGAAAATCCGTCCACTAGAAAAAAAGTTATGCAATAATTAGTGTAAAATACGTCTTTTTACACCTTTCAACTTCTGTAGCTTGGCTCGTATTAGTGCGATCGAGCTCATCGACGTCTCATTTTAAAGGTAATAACTTACAGAATGATGTAATATAATTTTTATGTTAGTCAAATTGTTTATAATGCAATCTGTAGACGTGTATAAACGTAATTTTATGGCTCTGACGTACTTTCCATTTGTTTATACGCGTTTTTTGCTGAGATAAATTAGTAAAGCAACGTGGCAACTCAGTTCAAACGAAAGTACATCAAAAAACAAAAATTTTAAGGGGTTTTGAAAGGAAATCAGTCAAGTAGATGCCAAGTTACAGCCTTCTAAGTTTGAGCGTAGAAACGAGCAAGCGCGTAGGGCGTGCACACTGAGGCAACATGAACTCATGAACCAAGCTGAGAAGGCTGTAACTTGGCATCTACTTGACCGATTACCTTTTAAAACCTCTTAAAATTTTTGTTTTTTGATGTACTTTCATTTGAACTGAGTTGCCGCGTTGCTTTAATAATTTATCTCAGCGAAAAACGCGTATATACAAATGGAAAGTACGTCAGAGCCATAAAATTACGTTTATACACGTCTACAGATTGCATTATAAACAATTTGACTAACATAAAAATTATATTACATCATTCTGTAAGTTATTACCTTTAAAATGAGACGTCGATGAGCTCGATCGCACTAATACGAGCCAAGCTACAGAAGTTGAAAGATGAAAAAAGACGTATTTTACACTAATTATTGCATAACTTTTTTTCTAGTGGACGGATTTTCAATTAATTTAATGGAATTTCTTTGGGTTTTAAAGACGAATAAAATAAAAACAAATTGTTTTGATCTATCTTCAATATTTTACAAGATATAGCTGTTTAAACAATTAATTTGTTTATCACAAAAAATTGACCGGGAATTTGGCCTGGCGACATTCAAATTCGGTTTCAGCAACCCAAAAAACATAGGAATCCGTCAACTCGCCGAGGGGATCTCGCAAGTTCACTCAAATGTCACCAGCGCCCGGACTAAATATATTATAAAATACCAGTCTTAGACCAGTTTTAGAGCATCAAGATGTAATTTAATGAGATATTGCACAGTTTTGAAAGCTCTATGACCGCCTTATGAAAGAAGTTGTAAAATAATTGATCGAGATGGTAAAATTATTATTCTCCATTTGACTCAACTTTGCTTATTTACAGACAAACGCCCTTTTGATTAAGTGAAAGCTGTATTTCTTTCTCACATTGATAATAATGCAATTGATTTATCTGAAATGATATTTGCCGCTGAGTAGCCATGTTAAAATTACAGAAGATTCCATAGCAGCGTTTATCATTATTATCTTAGATACACTATAAAAAAATTATCTTTATCTCAGTTTTAATAAATTCAGTTCAAAAATCTATTTTTTTCACGATAGTTTAAAATGAACGATAATGTTACGTATTTTAGGCAGGAGTACAAAAAAAATTGTTATCATATCCATAATTTTTGTACTTGCGATCCGTAATTGTGATATAAATTGCTCATGATAGCGGGATGTGTGTTAAACCCACCGAGTGTGATAACTAAAGTTCATTGTAATCATGTGCAATTTATGTCGCTGAAAAGTGTGCTATGAGTGTGAACATATTTCCCTTTTATTTATATAACTAAATGGATAATTTTCTCTTTTTAGGTTAACCGAAAATCAGATATTTATGTTTCTGTAGTATCGCATACCCACCAAGTAGCTGCTAAAGGTTGGTTCATAGCAATGGTATCAACAACAGTTGAAACGGATAATCCTGAGTTAGAAATAAAACATGGCTTAGATTTACTTGGTCCTATCAGCCAAAAGTTTGTCTACATATCAGATTACTTGGAGCCAATTGACAATGGATCTGAGAGTCAGATATTTATTTCTTCCAGTTACGACGCGACGACTCACTTCGAGACTACTTGTCTCGATGTTCTGAGCATTTTCAAAAAAGCTACAGGAGAAGAATTTGACTTCAATAAAGTTAAGCAAGAATTAGGAGACGAAGACATACAATAAATGGTCGAATTATTTTGTTCCATTTAATTGTCAGAATAATTGATATTTAAAATGATGTTCAAATACCAACTATATGTATGTATTTGAGATTTTTTATTAATTGAAATGAATAAAAAAAATTTCATGTATTCTACAAATCATAAGAAATACCCAATAAAACTAAAAGTGAATTAATATTGAATAATTATTTTCTATCATCGGATAAAGAATTCATTATATTTCATGAATATTACATTTGACAATTCTTTTTCAACTATTTTTTTCTCAAAGACAGCAATGTAAATAATTTCAACCGTCGACGGAATAGTACACACCAGTGTTGTCAAAATGTACCGACTTTTTAAGACGGTGCACTTGCGTCGACACGTCATGGGCCGAGCAAGTGGAACATCAAAGTTTGAACGCTTGGCCTGAGAAGCGCAAGGAAAGAAAGTGGGAGACGCGAAGAAGGAACTCCGTGCAACCAAAAGTTGTGGAACTAGCCAATCTTCTGTCAACACTGAGCGTGGTGCAGCGGTAAGACAGGCACCTTGTAATCTTATGTCCGCGAGATCGATTTCTTAGGAAACTTTTTTTTGTATATAAGCTGTTGCTGGTCCCCTCTACTTAGAGTTGCTTGGAGCTACTTCTCCGCTTTTTCCATTTAATCTTTATGCGCCGCTCGGGCCAAGCGTCGGATCAAACTTCGGCGCACGGTTCAACAACACTGGTACACACCAATGGGTATTCCTATGATGTTGCTACTCGGTGTAACGCCACAGAAGAAAATTTTGCAACAAAAGATAGAACAAGTTCAACCTTTAGTGCTTTATCGGTAAAACATCATAATATAGATCGGAGCCCTCACGAAGATCATGCCAAACTCTGGCAGGCCCAAAAGTAGCCTACGTAATCTCTATGCTCACATCGTCGACTCCATTCATGTATGTATATGGAGCCCCCGTATGGAGTACAGCCAAAAAAATACATTCGACAGGCAGAGTCAGCCGACCGTAGAGCCTGCCTGGGTGTGATCGGTGGCCGGCCGCATGTCCTCTACGAGGCGACATACGTTCTTGCTGGCATATCATACCGCTGTCCGTTCTTGCAGACGAGCGAGCACGGCTCTACAGACACCGCTGTGAGGACGCAAAGGACGAGAAACGCTTATGGCAAAGCATATGGCAAGATTCATGGGACCAATTGTCGAAGGGTCGATGCATCGGCTGATACCCAACATCAGAGTGTGGACCGAGAGCAGACACGGAGAGTTGACCCATGAAAACATTGCCTGCAGGATGCTGCGAAGTTCCTACAGGAGTCCTATAGGATTCATGTACGAATTTCGCGAATCCTACGTGAAATTTTTTCAAGGGGAACTACCATCTCACGAAACTCTTGGCCGGGCATGTCTTCTATAAACACCATAACAGGAGATACTACGATCACAATCATAGCGCTCAATGCCCGATTTGACCCTTAGAAATCGAAAACGCGGAGCATGTCTTTTACCACTGTCCGAGGTTCAGCAAAGAAAGATAGAGACTACAGGCTCTCCTCCACGAGACCGTGACCCCAGAAAACACCATCTGGCTCATACTCGCTCGCGAGCCAGTTCGGCTCGCGGTTGCTTCGCCCACTTAGTTGTCCTAAGACTGAGAGACGAAGGAACGGACCTCATGCCTTACGACGGCTTCCGCGGGGTAAGAAAAAACGGAGAGGATGTATTTACATAAACTATGTTAAAAAACCAAAATGTTATATTTGCCACCTAATGCAAACATCGTATCTTTTCTCTAAATAAATTATATTAATACTTGAAAAAAAAAAAAAAAAATGCACACACACAGACAGATTTTTTGGGATTTTAATTTAGTTTCCTTCGCTTCTGGTTCAAAACCTCGTTTCGACGCTTATCACAAAGCTTTCTCTATGAGGAAGCAATAGTATAATATAGTAAAAAAAATTGTTGTATTTAAAGCAATGGTGATAAAATTAAGAAGTCATGGATTTTTTGTTGCATTTACTTATTTTCATATGAGTTGCAGGTTGATTTATGTATTATTAGGTTATCGCGAATGTTATGGATATGAGCTTATGAATTTACGCGATAGAGTGTTGGACTGCGAACCTAATTTAGATAATGACACTAGCTGACGGAACGTAAAAAAACATGGTCTTTATCTCATGTAGTAAAAGTTGTACGGTATTTTGTCGATGAACTTCTGTTTCTTGTCATTGAAATTCTATAGTCTAAACGAACGAGCGCGACAAGTTTATTTGTGGACTTTTATGTTATTTCCTGCTATTTTGTCATACTTAAGGGATATGAAATCATAAACATAATTTTTGAGTTAAAATTTGAATTCTACATCAAATTTTACATTAAAAATCACGATTTAACAATTTATTTTTATATTAACTTCCCAGGAAAACAGAATAACATCAGAAAAAGAAAATTCATCTTCAAATCCCTGTAGATTCATAAGAGATGGACCTAGAGAGGTGAAAATTTCAGGATTTTCATCTTTGAATGTACTCTTCAAAAGTACATCATTTTTCCAAATTTTTATTTTTTACCCTCATGCTAACTATGGCTTAACCCACATACTTGTAGATATTTGTAACAAAAAACAACATATAAATGATGGTTTCAATTTTATTATTACTTTTATGACAAGTGATTCTACAAAATAAAACAGTCAAATTTTTTTCTGTTCTCAAGAAAAAATTGTTTGTGGAGTCAAAAATAATCCTAAATTTAATTAACATTCTTAGAACCATTTACCGTTTTTTTTAAATATACAAATTAAACATTTTTTTTAAATTGCTGTAAATTCTTAGTTTGCCCTGAGCGACTTTAAAAAAATGTTTTTAAAGCGACTTTGAAAATTGTTCAAACTTTCAAAAAAATTATTAAAAAGTCTGAAAGAAATCCTAAAAATCTGAAAAATCTTTCAATTTTAGACAAACGCATAAGAGTCAAAGTCTATATAACACAGTTTGATCCAGACTTTCGTGAAAAAATTCACAGAGCTTCTTGATAATGTCAAAATATTACGTACTAAATTATTTCAATGGTCGGTGAAAGTTAAGAATCCACGTAAAATCGGCGAAAATCACAAACCGTGGAAAAACGTCGAAAAAAGAATATTTTTTAATAATTTTTAGATCTTTCTTTGGCAATAAATTTAAATGTATCAAAAACAAGATATATTAATAGAGTCAATAATGATTAATAAAAAAATTCCAATAAGGTTTAAAATTAAATAATATAATTCCTGAATCTATCTAATGTAATTGATTGATTGATTTAAAAGTTTAATTCACATTGGCGCTGCAATACATACAAAAATCGAATCATGTATTTCATATTTTCAATAAAAAATAAATAAAGACTACGCAATAATGTCGATTTTCTTAATTATAAATGTAATTCTTAGAAGTATTTTACTTTATTATCGATTACTTAATGTCCTAAAATACCTTTGCTAAACATTTTAGTTATAACTCTTGCAAATTGGTGAAGGACATGTATAATCTTTCCGATGAATTTTTGGACAAATAAAACAATTTATGCAAAATTTTCTAATAATTCACTGATTTCTGATAAATATTCTGATTTATTTATTGTACCGAAAATCTTGTATCGAAAATTATGATAATCCAATCAAAAAGACTAAATAAGAAAAAAAATTGCACTACGAGAACTACTATAAGATATTCAATTAAATTAACCGTGTTAGTAGTTTTTTACTTAATAAAAAAAATTGTTTGTCATAGTATTTTGGTCTGACCATTTTGATAATTAAAATGTTTATCATTTATTAATTCATGAGTTTTTTAATTATGGTTTTCATTCGTAAGGCGTACGAAATATTTATTATTTGTGCGAAAAAATTTATAATTAAAACCAAATCTTTAAATAAGTAACGAATGTTCAACCAGGCGAATTTAACTTCAAGCAATTTTAGTTTTTAAAAAACATTACCGCGTATATTTGAACCATTTGTAGCCAACTTCTCGAGAGAAAACTTCGTAGAGTTCTGATTCACATGGGTGTGGTCTACTCCGTTCCGGTGTATCATCCGCTTGACTTTTTTCCGTAAAACAATCAATTTAGATTGTTTACAGAGTCAAAATTTTTTCCTGCTGTTAGTTGTCATGCACTCTCGCAATATTGAAGTTCAAGTATTCTCCAAGTTTCAGTGAACATTTGGTATTCATCAAACTATTCTTAATATTGAGTGAAATAGAACTATATACATCACACACAGCTTTTCAAGCTTCGAGATATAAATAAATATTTATGTTACTTTTTATTGAAAGTGTGTTTTCTCAGATGCTGTAGTGTAGCATAGTTTTAGAAGATAATTATCTTTGACAATATGGTGTGATTATCAATGGTTATCTAGGTAAGCTATGGTGTGCATATATATAGAAATGAATTTTTATGAACTTGGAAGTATTTAATAACTTACATATACATTTATGGGTTGAACTTTACAAGTACTTTCGATTTTTAAGTATTTCCGAGTTTCAATTTTGTATGACTTGATTTGTAATAAATAGTAGTTAGAAAATTTTGTTCAATTGATTGTCTATCTAATTAAAGCTTAGTAAAAAGATGTATATTTGAAATTTAAAATTTTGTAAAAATATACTCTATACATGTATTTTTTAAAACATCAAATGTATACTAGTCAATTGTCTTCTGAAAATCTTTATGTATTACATGATTTGTAATTATTAATTTATGATTCCATTGGAATTTTATGAAGGTGCTTTTAATCAATAACTGTGTTGTGTCAATATCAATATAATTGTTATTTTGCTTTAGTTATATACAAATTTAATTTCTCAAAGTATTAACTTGTTAACCTGCTAACATGAATTGTAATTAATATATCTGTTGGCTCAACACTTTTGCAGCATGATGTTTATAAATTATTTAATTATTTGATAATATAGAGAAAAAAATTTTAAAAAGCATCCATTTTATACTAGAAGAGATACTAGTAGAAAAGCTAGTATTTCAAACTAGCATTGTTTTGCATGCATCAAAATATTTGATAAATCATCTTGATGATATTTTTGTATGAGTTAATACATATAAAATTTTAATATTATTCAAGGTATCATAAATAAGTTGTTATGTTTATAATCATTATTATTTCATATAAAAATATTCCCATAATTTTATCAATCAAAAGAAATTCACTGTTCTAAAAAACTTAAATATGATTTTTATTTTTCTTTTAGCCTTATTAAGGTCAATAAACAATAAAAGCAAATACCCGACACTTTTTATTTGAAAATATATTTTTTACTCTCACTTTGGAATCTTTTTAAAGTTTATACCAGAAACGTATTGGTACTTCTATACATTTTAGATATTGTTTTTGTAATACCTGTTGATACATTGATGTCTTTTAATAATATTGGTTTTTTTCCCATCAGAATACATCAGTCATCTACTTGAAGAATAACATAGGAAATTCAACAAAAGTATATTTGATTAATTAACTTGGTTTTAATCATGAATGAACTTGATACTTTACGGCAAGAGGCTGAAACATTAAAAAATGCAATACGGGTAAGAAATATTCTATATTATTAATGATAATTGTTAGCTTGTGATTGATTAATTACTGATTTTAAAAAAATTGTAGTCAATTTGAAATTGTACAGCTTCAGTTTTAATGTTATATAAATTTTAAAAAGTTATTTGATCTAATTAAATTTTATTTCATATAGAGTAGTGCCTTTCGATTTAATATTAAAAATAAACATATACTAAGACTGCGTCGAAGCCAGTACCTATTGGAAACTTCCAAAAATTGTAAAGATTGATATTAATCAATAAAATTGACTTGAGTGATTCCTTTATAGTCATTTTTACTCGTACAAAATGAAGTTTTTGAAAATATATGTGCTTGGTTTATGACGAAGTTGATTTTGTGACTATATTTATTTAAATCAAAATTTTAATATAATAATATTTAACTTTGTGACTATCTACAATCTTTGCGGCATGAATTTTAACTCTTTAATTCAAAATAACCTGAGTATTCTTGACGTATTCCATCCAAAATTTGAATGATAAGAAACCAGGTTGCTTGGCTAGATTTTTTGAAATTTTTTGAAGTTAATCTTAATATTTTTGGAATAAGAATAATATTCAGAATAATAATAATATAAGAATAATATTAAGAATAATATAATTCTTAATATTTAAGAACAATCTAACCACTTGAATATAAATATTTGATTAAAGAACTTGGACTTAAAGAGATTTTGAGAAATATTTTTCTTTAAAATCAAATCATAAAAAAATTACACCACAATTTCAAAATCAATTTACTTCGGTTCCAATTATAAAAAAAAAAAATTAAATAAATAAAAATAAATGGATCAAAATCGACTTGGATCTTTTTAAGATGTCTTTAATAATTTAATTTTTTTGTAAAACTATATGTAAAAATTCGTTGCAAATTTTTATAGACTATTTAATTCATAAAAATTTTTATTATAGTAAAACATTAAATAAATTAAACTTTTAGTACATAATATCGAAAAGAAACACCATACCAGATAAAATTAAATAATGGTGATCAATGAATAAATAAATAAATAAATGAAATATCAAAAAAAGGCATATTTTATCATTTCATTTTCTCTATACACGACGCGCATGCGTTTAAGTAGAGCGCATTATATGACGTTGATAATCGGGATTGCTGTATGATGTTTGATTCAGTAAAGATCAGAAAACATAATTCCAGCGTAATTTGGTCTGTCCGAGGGAACACAAACAGATCTCTGTCAACTCAGACTATCCTTTTCGACTTACACCTTTTATCGCCGGAAATAGTTCTACTACTTACAAGGAGACCACCTCAGTTGCGGGTGACCAATTCTTATCAAAATTTTTATGTGGCTTCCTCGTACTTAGTAATGAAGCCCAGTATGCTTAGTTTGATCCCATGGGCTTTGAGCCTATGTTTAAAAGCGTTTTCTATTTAATTCAAAAATCTTTGCGATTTTCGATATCGATTTAGAACACTTAAACAAAAAAATGCAAAAAACAAAACAGTTTTAAAATTTTTTCAATGAATCTGTCTGAATTATTTCAGAACTTTTGAGACCATCTTGAGAGGCCCAAATTCGAAGTTTTTTTTAAAGATTCTAAGACTTGTTAGGGTTTATTCTAAGACTAAGGGTGATGAATGATCCCAAAAATTCTGAAAAAAAAACAGACAAATTCGAAAAATTTTAAAACTGTTTTGTTCTTTGCATTTTTCGTTTAAGTGCTTCGAAATCGACATAAAAAATCGCAAAGATTTTTGAATAAAATAGAAAACGCTTTTAAAAATGGGCTTCAAAGCCCATGGGATCAAACGAAACATACTGGGCTTCATTACTAAGTACGAGGAAGTCACATAAAAATTTTGATAAGAATTGGTCACCCGCACCTGGAGTGGTTGCCTAGTTAGTCTCATTGATTGATGTCATTAAATTACTCAATATTTTTACTGACTTCTAATATGGACTAAGTATTTATGGACTTTTTCCTTAAAATTTTTTTTAATTATCAGAAAAAAGCGGGTCCCAAACTATGGGCCAATTTACTACATACTACTTATTTTAGAGTATTTAAAATTGTTGAAAATAAAAAAATTTGAGCGTTAGATTTGAATGAAATAAATCTTATTTTGAGAGGTCATTTTGATTTCAAAAAAAAAATTTCAAAAAAACATAAGTTTTCAGTTAATTTGCATTAAACGATCATTTTTCTTAAAAAACTCTCTGCTTTTTCGAATCAGTATATATCTTTTTATTATTAATTTTTTCAAAAACTTACGACAAATGTTGAGAATTAGAAAATGCAATGAATAAATAGGATTTTTCCGACTATGAAAGTAGACTAATACTATAAAAACTTATGGCTGATTTTCTATCAACTCACCTGCTTAAAAAAATTTTGTCTAGTTGGCATGATTAACTTTTATTGATTTACATGGCAGAATGTCCAGGAATTTTGATAGAATATTGGAGACTATCTACCAACTTTTCCATAGGCTTGTCATTAATTCAAAATTCATGCTTATTGTATATATTTTAAAAATTTTCAACTCAGAATAGAATGATTGAAAAAAAAATCAAGAAATTTTTTTTGAAGTGTAAGAAATTTGATTAAATTCAAGAAAGCTTTTTTGCATAGAATTTTCTAAATTGTATCAAGTATAATCCAAAGTTTCATTAGCAAAAAATTTCCATAGCTTTCTCAGAGTGTCAAGTAACATTTCCTAAATTGTGTAATGGTTTAACCTATTAACGCCGGGAGGACACGATTTTGGCATTCAACTTAGCGCTCTTACCATGTCTCAATTGTGTTTAAAATTGCGTACATTAATAATTTATAATAAAAAATTGCAAATTTACGCAACAAGAACGTGTTTTTGAGGTCAAATTTTTTTTTATTTCAATTTTTAAATAACCTATCATTGTTATTCGGAGTTAAATATATATACAGAAATGATTTAAATTTCATTATTTTTTTATCTCATAAACTATTGAGTTTAGAGAAAAAGTTTAAAGAGATAAAAGTCTACGAATTGTTCAACAAACACTCTACGTTTTTTTCAGAATTTTCCGAGTCAATTTTTAAATTTCGGATCGGGAAATACGGTATCCCAGATTCGCTTTCAAAAATGTTTGTCTGTAGACTTTCTCTTTAAACTTTTTTTAAGAAAAAATATTGTTTTACAAAATATAACCAGTGTTTCTTAAAATAGAGACCTCAAGAGTACGTTCTGAATACATTTTAGGTTTGGTAGCCTGGAATAAGCATCTTGGTGTGCAAAGAAGGCCCTTAATGTTTTATGTGGTAATTTGATTTTATTTTCCCGAAAATTTACAACTCATCCAACTATATTGGTAACATTCAATTAAGCATATTCAGTCTGACACTTAGGATGCGTTTTAATATCTATGTTTCAGATCAAAACGCTTTCTAGTAATTTTTTCAAAATATTTGATTTGATCGTATCAAACGAATATAATGCTGTTTTATTAATTTTCTAAATGTTATACTTGTTTCCTCCTTCTACTTATAATATATAATTTTAGGATGCTAGAAAAAATGCCTGTGATACCACTCTCGTTCAAGCAACTGCTAGCTTGGAACCGATTGGACGAATCCAAATGCGCACTAGACGTACTTTGAGAGGACATTTAGCTAAAATATATGCAATGCATTGGGGCAGCGATTCAAGGTAATAATGTAAATTTGAATATTGGTTATTTTTTACAAAGATTTTATGAAACGTAACGTGAGGTTGATTCTCGGTATTGTAACGCAAGCGTGAATTATAGACACGAGTTATTCTCCTGAAGCTTGGCGTAACTCAATTAGAAGGCAACCATGCACCCAACATGCTGTGTGTATTGCGCTTGTTTTATTCTAGAAAATATGTATTTGTCATATAATAATAAATACACTTATTCCAACAAAATAAAATTAGGAGGCATATTCTTTGTAGAAGAATTATTAATTTTTTTTTAAAAGGAGGATTTCGAATTGCTCTATTCAAAATTTATAGTTTCGATTCGTTGCAGTTTTTTTTATTGTTGATATTTGTTATTGCCTGGAGAGATTGTCAGGATGACAATCACTCCACTGAATACAACACTGTCACTTTGTTTAAGATGAAACAAAAACTTATTAATTGAGTTGAATAATTCTATCACTTGTAATGGACACACTATATATCTATCTATTTGTTAATATCGCAATTTATGACTCTATTCAACGAACTACAGACGGATCTAATTCGAACAGAGGAGGGTCATAAAAAGAGACATGCGCGCGTTGAGGGAGACTTGACTGGCCGGCGGGCCGCGCGTCCCCACTCTGGCCATAGCTTGCTGGCCGTCTCTCTTAAGTCGGTAAAAGCGATCTTCACCCTATACCTAACATTTAATTTATAAGGGAATCGTGATTGAGATTTATTATACTTTTAATATATAATTTTTTACATATATACGTCAATACACGCGAATCCAAAATTTGCTGTACTTTTCGTGAAGTTGCTCTACCCGATTGAAAAGAACCAATAAAAACCAATAAAAAAATATGTATCGTAATCAATAAGTTTTTGCAACGGCAAAAACTAATGGAATTACATGAATACAAGATTTCACGTGATATATCTTATCGGAAGTAATGAGTTTTGCCCATAATGGGAAATGAAAAGAAAACCAGCTTCATTAGAAAATATGAGAAAATACATTTTTTTATGCCACTTGTATTTCCCTATATTTTCTAGTGAAGCTGATTTTCTATTGGTTTTTATTAGTTCCTTTCCATCAGGCTGAGCGTGTTTTGCAAGAAATGGTAATAATTTGTTTTATAATTTCAATGAATACTTGAGTGAGTTTTTTATATTTCTTGCATAAACTAAATCCTTTAAAACAAGCCCAACCAGGTCTTGCTACAAGCCCCTTACACAAATCATGCTGATCAATTCAACGGACTTATACACATACACTACGAGTGCTCGAGGCTCTATGAGCGTCGTCGCGAAGATACCGCGAGAAAGGAACATGGGAAAATACTGGAGAAATGGCAGGTTCAATGAGCGTGCTCAACGAAGAGTCAGTGGATTCACCGGTTCATTCCGAACGTCACCCCGTAGTTCGAGAGGAGCCATAGAGAAGTAAATTACCACCTCACCCAACTCCTGTCTAACCACGGTTGGTTCAGGTCATATTTATAGCGTACCAAAAATGACACAAACAACTCCTGCCTTAGTAAAGGACATCGAGCACGTCTTCCACTGCTCTCGATTCACGGTGGAAAAAGAGTAACTCCACCACCTTACTAACGAGCTTTTGGAGCCGAGACGATTTTTGGGTTCACACTTGACTCTGAACACAACTGAAAAGTAGTATCCTACTTCGCTAGCACAGTTATCACAAGACTAAGAAGCAAAGAGAGGACCAGAAGAAGATTCCCGAAAGATGTGGTTCGAAGAAGACGGAACATGAAGATCTATCAAAATCAGGATGTGAGCTACCGAGAGATGGTCTCTCCCCGCGAAGTAATGCCTAGCAGTGCTCCCAGGGCGATAGAACAGGAGCAGAAGAGAGGATAGGTTTTAATCGGCATTAGCAGAGAGACACACAGCAGCCCACTTTAGGAGGCTGTATCGAAAATGAAAAAAACTTTAGATCAAAGTGAAATTTGAACCGATGATGGTTTATGAAATTAAAAGATTTTTGGTCAAAAAAAAATTTGGGGTTTCCATGCAAACTTGGGAAATAATGAAATTCAAAGATTTGGCCATTTAAAATTGAATCAAATGGGAAGTTGCCGTTTTTACTGTACTGTGAGCTCAAATCACTTGACAAGTTAATGAAATTAATATGTGATATAGGAAATTTCATTAGTTTTTGAATGATATAAGTATAAATGGGTGTTTCCAGGCAAATAAGAATATATTAAGAGTCCAATACATTTCCCTTATGTTCTGCCATGCTAACGCTGTGCACTGCGTAACGCATATAGTCTTGTGCATAAAGGGTTTCAATACAGAACCACCTTGCTTCGCTGCAGCCTCCATAACATCACCACTCATCAGTACACTACTTGAATCCGAAATGTCCATGCGACGTCGGGATTTCGCATTTTGAATCAGTACATGGATTTACTTAACAACGGCCCTAAAGTAGCATTTCTCAGCCACTGCGCTAAACTGGATATTGCTATTTTCGGACTACGGGGTATGTAAAACAAAATACTGGCCTATACTGGGAAAAAAAAGCCCCATTGCTCGTGCTAATCGATTTCGGCTTCGCCTAGGCCGCTTATTTTACGTGCCCTGAGACTATTCTGTTTTTTCCGGCCTAGGGCAGTAATATACTATTCCTTTCTCGTTAAAAAGAAAAAATAATACACAGAAGCGCGCGCTTTTTTTGCTGAATCCATTTTCTTTGATTTGGGTTTTGCCATCTATATTTTTTAATTTGTCACTCCAGTAACATCGATCATATGACTGATTTGAAAGCATTCGAATAGCATTTATCGTTAACACTGCACAGTTCTGATGGTTACCTTCCGTACAGCCTTTATTGATTATGGCCACTCTAGTTGTTTAAACATCTGATCACTAGTTGATTTTTGGGGTGGGTATCAACGTTTCTAAATATTTTTTTCTAAAATTATTTATTGAAAATCTTGGAATTTTCCAATATAATTTTTTCATAAATTTGAAACGGCTAAAAATTACTGTTACCACCGATTCGATTTTTTCAAAATGCAAGTCATTATGCATATTCATCGTGTTCATAAAAATATTGTTGTATTACTTTCTTAGCAACTATAAAAATAATATAAATTTAAATAAATGCTCGAGTTATTTTTTAGTTTGGACTTAACTTTCGTCGTTTATTATTGTTATTTCTACGCCAGAACATGAAAATCATTCGTTTACAAGATTGGAATTATTCAATCTGGAAGATTATTTTCATTTTCTTGCAATCATGAAAGATAACTGATTCCCGCATTGCACGAGCAACAAGCATTGAAGATGATGTATTTCTCAGTCTCAAAGAATGTGGACTATCAAGTGATCACTCAATGCATGCACCAAATTACGAAGTTTGATCATTGTTCAGCCTTTTCGGAACCCAAACTCACTCTAAAAGTCTATTCTTTTGTTACGTCCCGTGGTCGGGATTTAACAATAAACTATTTATTTCTTAGACTTGTTGCCGAGTTGGAGTGATAATGAAGAGAGACTAATTATTTTATTGAAGTTTATATATTATTGTGGTAGTGAGATGGTTTACAATAATATTAATTATGATAATTAACAAGCAGCATAGTTCGCTACAGATCACACACGCATACTCATACTGTTTGCCTCCTAGCTGCTTGGAGTCGTTGGCTGCCTGCGATGTCGCTTGCCTGGTGACGTCGTTGGCTGCCTGCGATACTCCTTGTCTGGTTGAAGTCTGGATGATGGCTGGATCACGCAGATGCACTTGCTCGCGCGGTTACAATATTTATATTCGCACGTCACTCCCGTTGAATGCAACAATATTTTATATCTCATTGCCGACTTCCTGCCTGAGCAGATGTACAGCGATGGATGGTACTTTTCGTTGAAAGACTATGAACAATTAATCATATTTTCGAAAGATTCAAAATCTAAGAGTCTACAGCAACGAATGGCGATTGAATGTACGCCGTATAAGAAATCGGTAATGACAGAGCTTGCGCATAATGGCTCGATGCGCGCCTCACAAAATTGGAGGAACCACCGAGCTCACGATACGCAGTGTGCGATTTCGTAGATATGAAGGAGCTGCTGAGACTCTTTTCTCGTAGCTTATATACACCTAAATTTGCCCCCGCCTTAGCGGTTGCAGCGTATGTAGTCGGCTCGATATGTCTCAATAATTCACACATATCTTGCATGCGCGTGTACGTTTCTTTGTCGTGTGAATTGTATTTTCGCAAGAGTTCTTGCAACTATTTAATTAACAGAGGCCTAAGAAATAGGTGATGGTTTTAGGCCGCTCAATTCGGCATTGTTCACGCTGTCTGTGCGTGTCCGAAATGATGTTACTTTTTACCTGTCGTGTGTGTCATCGAAATTATCCATAGAAGATGCGCGAGATACATTAAATTGTAATTAATGTGTAGATGCTCGCTAGCTGCTTCTCATAGTTTTATTGGTTTCTTTTATAATTATTTTTTATAGTAAAAGGTTGCATCACAGGCTGTAACACTTTGACTCTGAATAGGCCTTTAAATGGTTGGAGACTGTGTACACTGTATGTCATCATAACCTAGGTTTCAACCCGATTCTATTGCATGCTTGTGGTGAAAAATACGATAATTTTGGAACAAACTTTTCAAAAGCAACGTTTTTGTTTTGTTTAAACAAATGCAGTTGAAGAATGGATGCATGAATTGTAAACCTGACGCCGCATTTACAAAGAGCTATGATAATCCTGTTAGTTTTGGCCTTTATACCTCAGTTGGACATAAAATAACGCATTGACAAAAAAGTCGAAATTTGTGTCTCCTCGTTCAATACTGGCATTACTTTGACGGGCAGTATCATCACAATGTAAATCATGCGTTTTGTGTCAAGAAATCAAGGAAAAAAATCATGAAAGGCCAAGAAATCAAGGAAAAGCGAAGAAAGAGTGAGAAAAAAATACCATATAGTTTTGACAATTTTCAACACTCTCAATAGGCGAAAAACCGCTATATTAACTCATTAACGACGTAAAGGCTTCATTTTTTTGTTGGCTTTCGAACGATTCCTTCTGTAGTTTTAGGTCTCAAAAACATTTCGCACGCCCCTATTTTAATGTAAAATTTAATTCCCTTTCAGAAACTAAGCTCAAAATTTTGATTTTTTGCATAATACCAAAGTTTGGAAAGTGGTTCGAAATTTCCATAAAAATCCCCTGAGATAATTTGATGGTCGTGATCACCCCTGATCATGTTAAAATCGTGATTCCCCAATGGTAACATGGCTATAAAAATCGAAAACTTGATTTGTCTCAAAAAATTTTACGTTTTTTTTTGTTTCAATAGCTATAACTTTTTTATCATGACAAAATCAATATTTTGAGGTCAGTTTCGGAACTTTCATTACATTTTACATTGTCTTAATGGCTTGTGAAATGTTTTTGAGGCCTAAAATTACGGAACAAATCGCTTTGAAAACCAACGAAAAAATGAAGCGTTTTCGTCGTTAATGGATTAAACACTTGTCTTATAAGCCGCTTTTTCGTACAAAAAGGATTTTGGAAGTAAGGTCTACAGTGAAAAGAACCGGCATAAATCTATCGATTTTCACATGTCGAATAATTTTCCATAGTCACTATTAGTTTTGCAGATAGGTGGAAAAGAACACGAATGCACCATTAATCTGCATAAATTAGCTTGGCCGCAGTAATAAAAATATCTCTTAAAAAAGTTTGATACTTCACTTATTTTTTTAGCTTTTTAGGATTTTCAAAAACAATAATCAATTTGTATAATATGTGTTCAATGAAAAAAATTGTATCCGTATTCAGCAGAAAATTCGGATCATAAATTACCGAATCACCCTTTGGAATAACTTATACAGACTATTTTCACAATATTAAACGATACTCGAATCATAAACCTCATTTAAATATTTATAGCCTCGAAACTTTTTCGTTTTTTTTTCAATTCTCACGAAAATTTGAGAGTGTACTCAGTTTAAAAACTTATTTTCTTTTCAGAAATTTAGTTTCTGCATCACAAGATGGAAAACTCATTGTTTGGGACAGTTACACAACTAATAAAGTTCATGCAATACCTTTACGATCATCATGGGTTATGACTTGTGCTTATGCACCATCTGGAAGTTATGTCGCTTGTGGAGGATTAGATAATATATGTTCAATATATAGTCTGAAAACGCGAGAAGGAAATGTACGCGTTAGTAGAGAATTACCGGGTCATACTGGATATCTATCTTGCTGCCGATTTTTAGATGATAACCAAATAGTCACCAGTTCAGGGGATATGTCATGGTAAGTATTTCAAAATAATATTTTGAACGGACAACTAGTAAGTTTTTGTGCGAGTATGTTAGTAAATCTTAGAAGGAATTTTTTTAAGTCAATATATCCATAAAGTATCATATTAACGTATGTATTAAAAATGTTCATGTAAATCTGAGTAGTAGAAATTTTTTTTTTGATAGTAAAATATGTTCATACCATTTCTGATTAACCAAGAAAAAATTTAATCAAGCTCAATATTCATGCTCATTATATCCCGTGGTCGGGATTAGACAATAAACATTTATTTATTAGACCCGTTGTCGAAGTGGAGTGATTATAAAGGAAGACTTATTACTTTTGGTTGCTGTTTCATATTATACCTTGTAGAGGGATGGTTTATAATAATATTAAATTCCAGATTCTGAAAGTTCATGAAATTTTACATTAAAACACATATGTTTCATGATTTTTAAACACTCAAAGCAGTGGATTATTTAGAGTTTAGAAACCCTCAAATCATTAGGGATTTGAAAAAAATTCATAAAAATTTAAATCATGAAGTCTCGTGGAGGCACGGGTTAAAATCATTTATTAGCCCCCAAATTTTGCACAGCTCATTTTTTTAGGGTAACAATCACTTTTCCGCCCAGGGTGGGCCAAAAGAAAAAAATTTTTATTCTTACTGTCAGTCTAGTATATATAGCCTTGAACTTTAATATCTTAACCAAAAACCAAATTTATAACACTGCGTGACTAAAGTTCACGTTTAAGACACGCTTTGTCGTGACTTAAGCTGCTCATTATTGCACCACGGGGCGCCTAACGCACTCGCTACGCTCATGCGCTAACCTCACATCGCGACGCTATTATGAGCACCTTATATCTCGCCAAAAGGGGCCTAAACGTGAATTGAGTACATTTAGCACAGTGCTATAAAAAAGCGTATGATACTTATGACTCAAGTAGCCCATGCCGTGCAATAATGACCTGCTTCAGTCACACGTATCATAATATACTACTGTCTTTCGAACAACATTTTTGAGCTTGAGCTAATCGATGAATGCAACCATGTTCATTTTTAAACAAGAGGTAGGATTTCAGAAATTATTATCAATCTTTACATACTCTTTAATTTTACAATTACTTCTTTCACTTTATTTCACTTATTAGGTAGGTTAAATTTTAGTATTAAGAAATAAATAAATAAAGTATACAATTTTTATACCAACCCTTGAATATATCCATAACTTCAGAGGGTAAGAGATTCTTATTGAAAAATTCTTCCATGATTTTCTTATATGATACACATCATAAACAGAACGTGAAATAAAGTCGGTGGCAAGGTTAAATTCATGATATTGAGAAGTAAGATATATTATAACGTAAAACGGCGCAAAAACGGTGAAAAACACACAACTCATGCCGACCGACACACCTGACGAGTAGTTCTCGCAACGGTAGCCGCATTCGATTCGGCACTGCTAGAAAGAAGGGGATCACTATTAGTATGTCGTTTTTTTTTAATGTATGCTTTCAAAAACTAATATAGACCATTTTCTCTACTGAACGTTTAAATCAATTCGCCTCTCTGTTTGATATTTTAACATTCTGCCGATAAAAATCGTGTTCACATATGAGACTATGGTTTGTGACCACGACCACATTCTCAATTTCCTTTTATGTTCAAAAACTCTTCCTTTTAATAGTTTCTTAGTTTCTCATATGTACGTCTCAATGCAACTAGCGCATGATGGTATGTAAACAACATTGGTATGTAAACAACATTGGTACCATCAAGTAATGAAGTCGAATCCTTAACCAGTCTGATGTATTTACTAAAGTCATTGTCATGTTTACCTCAATGTATTACGAAATATAGTAGTGATACATTACGTCGAATTGAACAATTGTTTTACAACTAATATTATTACCCAATTACTATTTTCAATCTGCTTAGATCGGTATATATCCCAACTAATGATAACTAGTGTAAACGTTACGTGCGTATATTTTAATTCTATAATAATTAATTTTAATCACTGTAATATCAACATTTTTTATAAGTAAACAATGTATCATGGTATCATTGGAAAGACAATTTTCACAACATTCCTTATCTCCAACCTAAATATTTTTAACAATTATACTTTAACAACATCCATCGTTTAAACATTAGAGTTCCCCAGCCTCGCCGTCTTACTCTTATCCCTTTATGTATAAATACAGGGGCCCTGGAGAGGTAAAATGACTCTTTATCTAACTCTGCACAATCTAAGACCTTCGTTTGACCTACGGTTGAGTTACCACTTCTATTTACTCTCTTGAACAATTTACTTCTCACTTAGTTAACGTTGCTTTTGAACTTGTAACTTCGACCTTCCATCCCGAATTGAACTTATGAAATTCAATATATTTCTTCACTTCCAACCAATTCCAACCATACTATCCTACCCATCAACGAACTCAAATTACTCAAACTCTAAATAAAAATTAAACCTTTAACGCAAAATGAGTATTTCACATTAATTTCCCTTACATCTCCGATTAGTATATTACTGCCTAGGCCGCGAAAAACAGAAAAGTCCCAGAGTACGTGTAATTAGTGGCCGAGGCGAAGCCGAGGCTTCCTTTACGCTTTCTTTTTCGGCTTTCTTTTTTCGTGACATAGGCCTGTATACTATTTTTCATTCACAGTGGCCCGAAAATCGCTCTTCCCGCTTTGTGCAGCGGCAGGGAAGTAGTCACTTTCGAGCCGCTGGTATGAAAAATTATATTCAGTCGCTATTGTTATTTGACACAGCATGCACAAAATAGTTATCTCCTTTACCAGCAGTTTATTTAGTAACTATCAATAGTCATCGTATGCACAGAATAGCTGCCAAACGTTTACTAACCATATACAGTAGGAATATTTATATGCTCTTCCCTATACGTAAATCTCTGTGTTTCTCCTCTGAAACTAGCATATGTATGATCTGCCACCTCATGAAGAGGTCCCACGTCGTCACAAGCAAAAAACATCTTTTTTTAGTTATGGTTCTTTTTTCATGTATTCATTTAAAGATATGATTGAAATTGAAAAAAATTTCAATGTTTTTTCATGATTGAGGGACTATTAGTGGTTGAACTTTTTGAAAATTTTTTCTTCTTTACTATTACATTTTTGGATTGTTCATATTTTGGAGAACCACTTCTTTTTGCTTCTGACCTTAGAGGGATACCTTCCTACGTGGGGGTGACGATTTGCAAGGATTTTCATCGTAACCATGACACAAAATTTGGTACAGAATTTCGGGCTTCAAGTCAGTCAAAGTACTAGCGTATACATGTCATTCTATGGCATTTGAAAACAGTAAATTTCAGGATCTACTCGGCCGATCCTTATAAAATTTTCAAACTTCTTCATTAACACATCCCACAAGAAAATGTACCAGAAAATGCAGAAAAAAGAAAAATTGTAATAATTGTGAGATGATAAGAAAATTGAGGAAGTGTTATTAAGGAAAACAAATTTATAGCACTGCGTGGCTGAAGTTCACGTTTAAGGCACGCTTTGCCGTGACTTAAGCTGCTCATTATTGCACCGCGGCGTGCCTATCGCACTCGCTACGCTCGTGCGCTAACCTCATACCGCGACGCTATTATGAGCACCTTATATCTCGCCAAAGGGGGCCTAAACGTGAATTTAGTACAGTGCTATAAAAAAACGTATGATACTTATGACTCAAGTAGCCCATTCTTAACACGGCACTAGCACCCTCGCTTCGCTCGGGTGCTAACCGTGCCGTGCAATAATGGCCTGCTTAAGTCACACGTATCATAATATACTATTCAAAATTTCACCGTTTTGTTTTTTTAATCAAATGTTTATTTTTGTACCACTTATAAATGAAGAAGTGTGTAAAATTTGGTAAAAATTGGCTCAGTAGATTCTAAAATTAACTGTTCGCTACTGAAAAATTACTTTTTACGAAGATGATGCGTGCTCCAAGAAAAAATACTAGAAAAAAAATGTTTTCGAATACTTCTTTCTACCCTCAACATCGAGCAATAAATGACATGCAAATATATAATAAAAAGCTGAGAAAATAAATGACGAAAATATCTTTTTTAATTTTTTTCAACTGGTAATAGGGTCTTAAATTCACCCAGTCACAAGAAATTTATTCAACAAATTTTTGAAAAAATTGAAATCTAACCACAAAAAAATTTTATAACATTGATTATTCGTTGTTAAAAATCCAAATCTTCTTAAAATGTAATTTTCCTTAAAAAATGATAAATTAAGCTTCTGGGCACTTTTCGGACACTATTCTCGCAGTCAATGCTCTGCCCAATAATGCCTATGTATGGTTCTTTAAATTTGTACTAGATCCTAACTGTATCTATCCTCAACCAAAATTCATAAAATCGTCGTAATAACAAACTCCAAGGGCTCAAATATTAAAAAAATGATTTATCGAACTATGAAAATTCCTACGACTGATTTTTTACTTGGTTAGGTCAGACTCGGGCCCATAGTAGTTCGGATTACACTATAAACTATTAGACCATAGTTGTCGAGTTAGCTTTTGGAACTTTCGGTTCCTGAACCTCTCGCACCACTCTATGACTCGGAAAAAGGGCGCAAGTGTGAACTTAGCACTGTACCATATTAGTACTTTACGATACTAGTGGCATAAGTAACACCTTTAGTAAAGTGCTATTCGATACTCGTTTCATAGGGGACCTTTTTGGCTCAGTTATGAACTCCGCCAATTCTAAAACTGTTACTTGTGACACTTGTATCGAAACTTACTACTAGAAATCTCGTGCTGTCTGCTATAGTGAACCGCTATTAATTTGGATAAAATATCTATTTTGAATAGTTTTGAATAGTTTTAAATAGTTTATTTTTTTTTCAAGTGCATTATGGGATATCGAAACTGGGCAGCAGTGCACGTCTTTTCTGGGACATACTGGAGACGTCATGTCTTTATCACTTTCTCCAGATATGCGAACGTTTGTTTCTGGAGCCTGTGATGCTAGTGCAAAGTTGTGGGATATTCGTGAAGGATCCTGTAAGCAAACATTTCCAGGACATGAAAGTGACATAAATGCTGTAACGGTATGTTTTTTTGATATTACATCGCTTGTATCGATAATGAACTCACTAATACCTTATAATTGTTGATTACTTTATACTAAAAAACTCCTATGTGGCATGCCGAATATTAATTGCAATCTCTCAAATCGGTACGGCCCACTATTATATTTGAATTATTGATACTATTTATCGATCAAATATATTATTTGAAAGTCTGTTATGGTAAAGCTAGTAAAAAACTGATATTTTTTAATTTTATTTATACTTAGTAAGGCGGGGTTAGACTCTCGGCGTTAAACCGCAAACGCGAAAATCAACGAAAATCGTAACGCGAGGCTCGTTGTGACCGTTGCACGACGAACAGACGGCAGCAGTGAGCACGCGGCCGATCAAGGGCCAATGGTCGATACGACACACGAGCCACGGCACTTTGAGCCCATGTATGAGGAACCAAATGAAAACACACACACGCACGCACAATTGTAAATTGTGCGTGTATTATATATTGTAAATGCGCTAAGTGCATTATTGATCTAGTTATTCCATTTGTTTATTAAAAACACTCCCACTTCTTTTCATTGGTAACAGGGGGCTTAAAATCGAAAAAAATTTTATTTTATTTTCGAGTAGGACCTTTTGTCCCTTTTCCATTGCATTTTTCTAAATTCCAAAATTTTGATTATTCACTGAGATACAGCTATTTCCGTGAGCCAATTTTGTATACTTTTCGTGTTAAATGTTTTCTTCATTTGCGTTTTCTATTGTCGTAATATTCAGAGCGTACCGATTGAGTTACAGCATCAGGGTTGCGTACGCTTCTTCAGAACATCAATGGTTACGGTCACAACCTCGGGCGAGCCGATCCGACACTCAAGTCACCCTGCACAAACACTGAAGCACAATTTTTTTTCATTTTACGTTTTTTTTGTGACCTCCGTCATGAATCGAATTGAAAGTGACCTATGAGTTTGATCACCTCGCCCTAGGTTGTGACCGTAACCATTGATGTTCTGAAGAAGTGTACGCAAACCTGATGCTGTAACTCAATCGGTCCGCTTTGAATATTACTACAACAGCGGTCCATTTTGCAAAAACGTAAAATGCCAGAAAACGCAAATAAAGAAAAAATTTAACACGCAAAGTGTACGAAATTGGCTCACGGAAACAGCTGTATCTCAGTGAATAATTAAAATTTTAGAATTTTGAAAAATGCAATGGAAAGAGGACAGAGAATCGTACTCGAAAATAAAAAAAATTTTTTTCGATTTTAAGCTACCTGTTAGCCCTTAAGGGTCCTCTATACACACTCGGTCGGTAACTATATTCGCGTATTTTGTACCCATTTTTTTCATTTAGTATACAAACTATAGTCTTGAAATTTTTTGGGAGTGATCATGAAACTAATACAAATGTGCCTATGAAGCTATTTTTTCAGATAAATATTGTAAAAATTTTTTTTTTCAATTATCTGAAAAAATAGCTTCATAGACACATTTGCATTAGTTTCATGATCACTCCCAAAAAATTTCAAGACCATAGGTTGTATACTAAATGAAAAAAATGGGTACAAAATACGCGAATATAGTTACCGACCGAGTGTGTATAGAGGACCCTTAAACTATGCCTAAGACTACAGCCATGATACGGACGCCAGAGTGAGCGCAAATTATTGGTAAAGACTTGTACTTTTGTAAATTAATTAATTCATTACCTTTCCTTGTTATTTTACCACCTAAAACTGAACAAATAAAAAGAAAAATGTTTAAAGATTCCAATTTTTCGGAAGTACACGTTTTCAGCCATTTTAGCTACTCGACGAGCAAATGGCTCTATTTCATATACCTAAATGATGCACTAAATTTTGGGGCAGATCCGTGAACCCTTCCCATAAAACACACCAAAAAAGTAAAAAAACTGCTAGTAAAGGAAGTGACCCTGTCCGGCAGCAATGAAGCTCTCAAATTACATGAAATGAAATGCAATTAACCAGCGACAACAGAATATGCTCAGGGGCCGCATGGAAAAATCTATATATTACGCGTTGAATAAATCTCGCGCTAAAATTCTGGCCTCCCTAACAAATCTGAAAAATCGATGACTAAAAAAAAAAAAATAATTTTATTAAATATATACCTTGTATTTATAATGTGTGTACATTGTATAAGGTATATACATTATATATATACCTGGTAGGTACCTTGTAAATACAAGGTATCTACATTATATATACCTGGTATATACCTTGTAAAAACTTATTTTATATTTCTTGCCATCTTAAAAATTCTTACAAAACTCTGACTAAACCAAGCGAGCGTCAGCGAGCGAGGTAATTTGCTAGTAAAATATTACAAGTCGTCGACTACAAGACAGTTTATCATCTCGCCTTATGCCACGTAAAGTGAACTACGAGCACGTGCTGTGACTCGCGGCAGCAAACAATTTTTTAATAATGACTTCTCTCTGTAAACCTCGTGCAAATCATTAATCTTCACATTTGCGACCATGGCTGCTTCTGCTGCTCACGTGAATTTGTGTCATCGCAGCTCAATATTGACGTTGCTTGTCCTTGCTCTGCGAATAGATAAGCACGGTAAACACTGCATCAGGTGCGTTGCAGTGTGTTGCAACCCTGAATATACTTAATACTTAAAAATATACAGGGTAGGGAATAAATATAGAAAGGGCTGTAAATCTTGCTAAATAAGCTGGGGAAAAAATCATAAACCTCATATCCGACGTATTTTTTCATAGGGAATCCAATGGTGACTTCGAATTTGACCTTGAACATGACTTTCAAGCTCCAGCGACCCGAAAATTGATTTTTAAAACGGAAACCGCTATTTTTTATTTCAGATGTGAAAAAATCGGAAAATTTTACATGAAGATTTGTATATTGTTTTATTTTCAAGGTCATTTTGAGGCGCTACAGTTAGAAAAAAGCCCGGACTTGAGCTTGATTATAGGTTAAATAGGAGTTTTATCTGAGTGTGTAGCGCCCGTAAAATGACCTTGAAAAAAAATACATGTTCCAACGTAAAATTGTACGCTCTTTTCAAATCTGCAATAAAAAATTTGGGTTTTCATTTCTGTCAGATTCTGCGCAGTGCAACAGTTGTCGCGTGGGCCAAAATGTCACGTTTTTACACCGCATCGCTGTATTTCAGTTAGTAAAAATAAAATGTACTCTCTGGAAAATATGTATATCGATGGGGAATTTCTTCAGCTTTTGATTAGGACTATTTTAAAATAGTACTTTACAATACAAGTGCCATAAGTAACACGTTTTGGCACGGCGTAGTTAAGGTCCTAATAGCTGGGCCGAAAAGTGTCCCCATGGCACGAGTATCGTACAACATTTTATAGCACTGTGCTAAGTTCACATTTATGTCCCCTTTTTCGAGTCATAAGTCGCACTTTCTGGTACCGCAAAGTGAGGTTAGCGCACGATCGTATGCGAGTGCGATGCGATATTTAATGTTGAAAGTTTATTTTTGAAATTTTACGGAGAAAATTAAATTAACCAAAAAGTCTGAGTTCACCATCAGAAAGTTGAACAAATTTTCCATCGAAAACGTATTACATATATTTTTTCTGAGAGCTGCAGGGAATATTTCGTCGAGTTAGAAAGTAAGCAATTTCGCCTACGAGTGCCGTGTGGCGAGCGTGCTAGGACACTTGGCGTTAAATGCCTCATATTTAGAAAAAGGTATTATTTTATCTTCATAATATTGATAGAGCCTTATGTGCCATTATAGGCATGTAGACAAAAATTTAATTAATGTATAGTTTTATAATGCTAATTTTTACATCCACTGTCTTTTTATAATCAGGCAAGGGCTGAAACTTAATTCTTGTTCTGATCTAGGAGTCAATTCCTGCAATGACTACTTCATATATAATTTAACGCATTCGGTCAAGTATTAGCATGACTCATTACAATCGTATCAACCACAAGAGCAAAATTATCTTGAACGTACTAATTTGAATAACTTCACTTCTCATTTTAAGGAAGCTCGAGTAAGTGTTCTACAATCGCGCTTTCTCTTTATGCAGCGTGCATGGTGCATGGCGCAAGCGTGACGCTATCTCATTCAAATGCGTGCAGCTATTACTGTGTTGTGGTATCCAAGTTTTAACTCGAAAGCTTATGATTTTTTTTCAATGAAATTATATAATTTCTAAATTCTCAAAGAGTATGATCGTGAGCGAGTAAAATATGACTCAAATTTAGATGCTCCCATAAGAGTCTATGTTGAATTAGCTAACTTTACATTTATACATCTTTAAAAAAAACAGAAGTTAATTTTGAAGCAATCGAAACTTATAGGCAAATAACTTATAGGAAATAGGCAAATTTTAGTATATTTTATAAGAAGTGCGCGAAGCAGTTGACTCATCCAGGAGTTGATTTCACCCGAGCGTAGTGAGGGTGCAGACTTCTGGGTGAGTCAACTTCCTCGCGGACTAGTTGCAAACGATATCTTTTAACTCTGCTTGCAAGAAACTAGGAGTTTTCTGACGATTTAAGGTTAGAAACCCCATGTTTCGCGCACGCAGTATTAAAAAAGGTATTATTATGAACTTTAATTTGACTGGTTTGGATTTTTATTTGTTTCAAAATTGACGGTTATAGAGCCATTTGATTATTGCTGTAAAGAACCGGCTTAAATTAATTTAAATACAATTAAAAACCTTCAAGCGATTGGTGGCACGAGTTATCTCAATTTATATGAGTCGAAATTTTGAACAGACTATTTATTTGGTACATAGGGTAAATGTACCTATTACCGTGGATTTATTTTAAACTCACCTTAGTTAGGGCATAAAATTGAAAGAAACGATATAATTATAATAATTTTTTTTTTTAATGAAAGAATAAACATATCCCGATATAGTGATGCATTAATAATCCATTTTTTTTATAATACATTAGTTTGAAAAGTCAATTCCTAAAATAAAACCGAGTGTGTGCAATTCCGTGGGTTTGCACCTATTAACAAAAAGTTGTGTGTGTATTACCG